TATACATTATGCAAGGGTTTATATCCATTTACATTAACAATGGCGTTAGGTATTTTCTAGTTTAGAATATTCTGTTGATTTTTGTCCTCTCAATCAGTCTGATATTTAGATGATGGTTCGCGTGCTTTCTGTCTAAACTTTAGTGCAACACGTATGCTTGTAACAGGCTTCAGGGAGATACGGCTCCATATGAAGATTTTGTCAATCTTATTCCACATGAAGATATCAAGATGAATGACATGAAGAAAAAAAGAAAAGGAAGTACTTAAAAAACTGAAGAATAGAACGAGAGGGAATGAGACAATACTGAAATTCGGCAGAGCGATTTAAATAAGGGTGTGTGGATACACCTTTATCACTGCGGTCTATCGTGAGCGATATCACCTAGGGTCTTTAATCACCGATTTCTGTTGTCACGCAGATATCAGCGGGGAAGTTTGCACATCCATAAGTGGCTTAGACTAACACTAAAAGACTTCATGAACTGCTGCTATATCCTAATCTGTCTGCCTCTCATCTTTTTCTAGTCTTGTCCTATTCCAGCCAACATTGTGAGACGGGACAGAAGGTGCCTGAGCATGTGTAACACATCTCACCCACCTGACTCGATGAAACTCCACAACTTCAACTATCATTTTCCTCCCAGAATTCTCGACCTGATTCCTACTTTACTGATATCGGAGCGGCACAACAAATAGTCTATACTACGAAGGCAATGACAATCAAACACTTGTAACCTTTTCATTTCCTCTTTTTTAATAGCCATGTTTCACAGCCATAAAGGACTCAGCGGACTGGAGCACAGTACACTTGACCTTTATTGGGCAATTGGATATCACATCGGTGATACATTGGTGAAGGTAAGGTGGGCGTTTTGTTTCCTTGCAGAGAGAAATCGTTGGCCAATGAGCGACTAGAGCTGATCAGACTTCTCAGGTAAGTGAAGTGATCAGTATGTTCAACCATTTTACTCACCTTTTTAGAGGAGGCGCTTGTGAAAATCATTCCTGGAGCAACAGTTCCTAGTTTGGTGGTCAGAAATGCATCCCGAACATCCCCAGATTGCTACTTAGGCTGTCGAGAAAAATGGATCTTGTCGGTATCTTCATCTAACTGGATTATGTTGTCTGTGTACCATAGGTTTACTCAAGTATCTCTTTTTCCTGTGAAATCAAACGAGGGAGAACTCTTTAAGCATATCTGTAACAAAAGTGAATTCGAATGGAGAGAGTAGATACCCTTGACGGACACCTCTTAAATTACATAAATCACCTGGTGTCTCTTCACAGGCTGTGATACGCCTACATGTGTTCGAGTAAATAGCCTCGAACAGGGTAATTTATTTACCTGATATGTCTTTCAGTGAGAGTCTGCCGTATAAGACCTCAGTCTATGAAGTCGCGTGTCATCATCAGGTCGAGAAATACGGATTGTGTTTGGTGCCGGTAAGTGTATCTCTGTTAAGACATGATGCGGGGTGAATATCTGATCGAAACACCCAGGACAGGGTCTGAAAACCTTCTGGTTCCTCGGGGTCGTTGTACACAGGCTTCACTTAGGTGTGTAACAATTATAGAACCTAGGATCTCAGACATCTTCATAAGCCTGGTTCCCCTGTGACTATAACTGAAGGATTCCTCCCTTCTTCGGTACTGGGATCAGCAGCGTTTAAAACCTGTCAGAAGGAATCATTTCCGACTCTCATACGCTAGCTAACATCTCAGTAACTGTCGGCGGTAATCCAAAATCATCGTTCCTAAATACGTCTGAAGACTCTTGGCGACATGGCTGAAAATCGGTCACAATGGCGCATATATATTCAGTCCTTGTCATTTGCAGTAACTGTTACCTGGCCATCTTACCCTTTTTCTTTTCAGGTTACTTAAAGCCCTCTAAACTTTTGCTGGAGTTAGAAGTTCTCTGTCAATGTTCCATTCAGGATCTAACTGGATAGCACGCAACGGATTGTAGCCGGAGGTTAGTTGAACTGTCAATCGTCATTTGAGTTGTTTCCGCTCCTCATTGAGTTTGGAGCCTGCAGGAGTACGTTCTTTTACACCCGTAAATTCAGAAGAAGCTACTGAAATTCACTGATTTTTCTAACCACTTCTTAAGAGTCAGCTGCTTTTACTGGAGATGACACTAGGCTTTTTCAAGAAGAGTAATATTATCCTTTTCCAGTAACTATCTAGCCCTTCGTTGTTGGGAGTAGCTTTAATATTCTCACTGAAAAACTGCTCTAGAAATGGCCTTGCAGATGTAGCTAACCTAAATACATTTATATGCAGATGTAAGCGTGATAGGACCAGTGCACGTCTTCTGTCCAAATATGCGCTGCAAGGGAAGAGACAGTCTTTCACCTACCCTTTCCAGCAACAAATGATACCAATATGGTCTATCTGTGTTCACCACTGACTCGAGGTTGGTGGACGCTACTTCAGACGGTGTCTCTCTTTATATCTGAAGTTCGTGCCGGCCGGAAATAAGTGGTTGTCTGAACACAGTTACAGCAGGTGGTCAGTGTTATCTGTTTATTCGGCTAGGATTCCGAAACTACCACCTAAGTGCCTTTCCGCCTGACGTAGCCTACCCAGTTATGCACTGAAATTACTTGCTACGGCAACCATGTCTTAACATTTGGTTTTCACTAAGAAGTTAGATATTTTTCTGTAGATCTCATCCTTCACTTTATTCTGGCTGCAATCAGCGGGTATGTGAGCAGTGATCAGAAAGAGAGCGACGAGTTTCATTATTCTTTCTAGTCCTCACTATGTCTACCAGTCGATCGGCGCATTGGCGACTGTCAACTGGGATCCAGCCGAGCAGTTTACTTCCTGCCTTAACAGTTAATGTTATGTCTACACCTGCGAGACTGCGGGAACTAGCCTATGAGTCTCCAGAAACTCGGAGGACAAAGTTTTTAGATGCACTACATTAGTCGGGTGAGGTTACACAAATAGCTTCACTTGAATGTCTCACAAACAGCACCCATCAATGGCCTGAGATACCAGAGGTCTGACTAGAGAGGCTTGTTGACTAGGTCAATGGATGGTACAGATATGGAGTTTCAGGGAATCAAGGATACTGTTCTGTGAACTCCGACTGCTGTCAATATCTGCAGAGCTGGAAAGAATTAAAGATGATGCAGGATTGTTAACAGATAGGTATGAGAGAAGATTAGAAAATAAGGAAAGGTGTGGAAGGTGGATAGTGATCTGAGGGAACTTGAATTCTGACTGTATTGTGTGAGTGATCGACCCTTCCCTGGTGTTCACATCGTGGGAGGCTTTTATTTGTTGAGGTACCTTAAAAAGAATCGTTAATGTGTGATCACAGAGCACAAAAGATATCTGCTACACGTGGTTTTTATTGAAATTTGCTATTTAAGTTTGTTTTAAATGCAGATGTAAACCTATTCAACCTACCCCGGGGTACTGGCGGACAGGGAGTGGGTTGTTAGTCTTTTGGCTCTACATTTCTTAACTCTCTGCCTTCCCATAGGGAAAGAGGAATCCGCATAACACTGCCAATCATCCGTAACAAACACCTTACTGCTTTCACACCTCTATCCAGTCAGCAGTAAAACTGCGTCTTCGAACCCCCATCAAAGTGTGGCAATTTACACCATGACAGTAACTGATTTTTGTACAGCTGTCTTTTATGATATATTAGGAACTCAAAGGAATAAACATTTCACCTGCGTATTGAGATATACGAGCTTGACGACCACATCAGGTTACCAACTTGTAGTTGGGATCGGTAGAAAAATTCATTCTTCAGTCACAGACTTTCTCTATTATCGTTGTAGCTTTGAGGTTTTCGAATTTGTTAAACTAGTTAGTTTGTAAGTAACTGAGTATTTTGTAAATACTTCTCATCACAAACTCATAACTGATGTAGGCTTTGAAGACTGCGAGCGCTGAACGTCCATTTTTATGCATTTTTTGATCCCTTTTAGTAGGCGCCAACATCTTAAAGTATGGATTAAATAAACTTCAGGTCTTGAGAATAAAATTTTGAGATAAGCGGTTGACAACTAATTAAACGTATACAAATGAGTCAATTACTCTGAATGTGAGAACAGGGCCTATTTTGTAAAATGAAGCAAACTAGCTAGTTTTCAGTTCCACGGTATCGTTATGTCATGAGACTTTCAAAACACTTGAACACTGGAGAAATCGAGGTCTTTGGTGTATTCAGACTAAGGTTTGTTGGATTCTGAAACTTGTTCTTTCAGTGTATTTCAACCACATACCTTCACGTTTGCATATGGATTGAATTTTGACAATCGTAATTCTTCTATGCAATTGTTCATTTTCCCACTTAGATTGGAAACAAAGTGAATAAAAGTCACTTTTTTCTGAATATCATAAGTCATGATTTTCCTGTCTTTTGTTTCATTGGTTTCGGAATAAAAAGTTTGGCGTATTTATCCTATTTGAAGTTCTGAGAAACGGATAATTCCAAGTTAATTCGTATGTTGGGTGCTTCATACACATAAACAGTATTTGTGAATTATTAAATATTTAACGATGATACTAGGTTCAATTAGGAATCGTTCATTTTGTTAGTGGTGTTATTACACGTGGGTTCAATAATACTCGATACGGTTAACCGCGTCTGGGAGTCTATAGTTCATGAAATACGATGTAGCATTCAAGTAGTGCATCCTCTTGATGTACACTGTTTGAAGTCACCAACTGGAAAACTTGATGTATAGATTTTTTCTACTTTGATTTGAAACATGCCTTACTTTCTGGCAGATTACGTCTGTTACCTAAGCACTATGCTGTGTGCATTTAATAACAATAATTCAGTGAAACCAGATATGAAAGTCTTTCAGAGAGTCTAAAAGACGTAGTATACATATTTAAAAATGTATACAGTTAAAGGTAACTATTCATTATAATGGCGAATATACTTGATAGTCAACTTTGTCTCTCTGTCTGTCTGACTCATAACTTATCCATACCAAAGTGGAATATTTCTACCCACTGAATAAAAATAACAAGACTTTATTCAGTAGCGTTGTCTTCAATAATTTTTATACATTTCGAACAACACATCATATTATTTATTGATCATGCTTTATTTATTTCGTGCATTTGTATATCTTTTCTGCATCTAACTAAAAATGCATACTTTTTTATTTTGTAAAATTTTCTCCTGAAATTTTTTTATATATATCAGATTCAAAGAGGAATACTACTGTTTTCATTACCAGTAATAATAACCTATCGCTGAATTCATTAAATTACTTAGCAAATATATATAATCTGTGTATATATGAAGGTAACTGAAATTGAATTTCATCTTAGTTAAAAAAAAAGTTTTTTCCTTTTACACAAAGTATGCATAAGTATTAATAATGATGAAAACCTAACGACATAAACGAGACAATTATTGTGTATTCAAGGAAAGAGTACATACTTAAGTATCGAATATAAACATACTAGGAATTGGATTAAGGTAAATCCCTGAAGATAATATTTTTGACCTAATGGAGAAGAATGTAAAAGTGTTTAGTGTTATTTTGAAAGAAGAAACTTTTAAACAGGTTTTTGCTTTATGAATTTTATGATGATGTAAATTAATCATCTTCTCGGAAGTCTAGTTGGTCGACTACTTGTTACATATCTAGATGCTGTATTACGATTTTCTGTATTTCCACTATCAATCGTACGTCGTACATCACTGCTAGAAAACGATGGCTTCAAGCCTAAATCATTTTGTGCACCAGACTTACGTTCTAAAGAACGTCTACCAGTATTCAGTGGGATTTCCGAACGACCAGCTGTTGAAAGCTTATTTGCGCTGCTAACTAATTGTTGTGGTCTATTTGCGTCTAATATCGTTTGATCTTTAAATGAAGCCAACTGAAAGAAAAATGAGGGTACACAAAAGATTTATTATGTGTAAACATATTAGCTTTCAAATATCATTCAAAAAATTCAAACACAACAAAAGCACGTCGAAATTTGTAAATTTAAACTGTATATAAATGTAGAATGTTTTTAAAAGATGTTAACGAAAACAAACACTTGAACAGTGAATTGGTAATAAAAGTTTATCGATAGATGAAAAACTGAAGATTAAGTGTTGAAGTGAATGATGATTTTGTTTTTATATCCTTATGTATGTATTTATTTGTTTTTGTATAGTTTGATAAGACATAGAATGTACTCATTTTCTTTCTATTAAACTATGCTCAGCACACTTTAATATCTATGCGTTATTCATTCTGTCAACATCTTACTCAGAGATAAACTTATCCTAGTGATATTTCTGTGTATGATAGTAGTTTTACAACTTTTATTATATTTAGAGTAGTCATCAATCTTATCAATCGTTTCTACTTCAAATTTTCATTTTGGATGGAACTATATCTATTTTTTGTACCATTCGAATATTTCTCTTCTAGTTACTGTATAGGATGTTAGTTTCTGCAACAGTTTATATCCGTTAATCATTAAAGCCACCTATGCAGTTGAAGAGAATTAAACGAATCAAAATGCTTCCTTAATATATTATCTGCTCAACAGAAGCACTGAAAGATGAAATTATATATATATATATATATATATATATATATATATATATATATATATATACATATATATATATATATATAAACTATTCTCCTCCTAACCGTCATTTGTCTTTGTCATTCACTACAATCTACAGATAAGAGTAATGTACATAATGAAAAAGAAAGAAGGTGGGTAGTGGTACTGTTTTAAGTGGATGACTTATTTAAAAATAAGGTAACTTGGATTATGTCTTGCCAAACCATCTACTTTTCACTCTTATGTGAATACATGAGATATTTTAATAGTCATGAATCTAGGTTGGAGTGAGCATTGGAACTAAGCAAAATCAAGTTTTGGTGTAATGTTATTAAAAATAAATAAGGCATGTGTAAATGTGCTTCTCAAGGGTTGCCAAACGCCTCGCTATGGTTACGCGCCAGGGCATCAATGTGAAGAAGCTCTACCCAGTGCGGTTAGTTAGTGTTTGCGCTGATGGCCACAAAAACTGGGGGTGATATGTGCACCGGTGATTACTGGTAGGGCTCAGTTGCGCAACGACTCTGAGCCTTCATATGACCCACTGGATGCCATCCAATTCACTGTCAGAGTTGAACTAGCTATAAACACAGTCGGTGGGTCCCATATGTGCGGTCCAGCGACACGGGTCTCCAGATCACGGATGGCTTAGCTAACCGTTTGGATTCCGTCCAGTGCCTTAAAAGCAGTGCAATCGATAGGTAACGGAATCCAGCTTCCTAATTCTGGTAGTCATTGTTATAGAAGCAGTCCCAAGATGAGTGGTATGGTTAGCCTTGCGAGTGTGGGCAGTATTTGGTCGCGAGTTTCAGGTGTCGTCCACTCTAACCTTGACGCTTAGGATAGCCTGGGAGTAGCCCTTGTGAAATTTTGGTGACAGGGGAATTAATCTCTAAGGCAGGTGATGCGCATTTCTTTTTCAAATTTGAGGAGATTTAGTTGAGGTGCATCCCATAGAAGTCTGCCCGTGAGGAGGTGAGTATGGTCAAACGACCCTATTTCCTTTCAAATGTGAATGCATTGAAGCCCGATAGTTGGGAGAGTTTTGGGATTACACTGATCAGTTTTGGGGTAGCATTAATAGTGGCCTGGCAGAAGCATTCGTTTTCGTGTGGATACGTTATGTTTTTACCTGTTAGGCGGAGGACCGATCCACCAGGTTCTTAGGTAATGGCGTCCATGAAGAGTAGGTGTAGCCTGGGACTAGTAGCTAATCTGATAATTGGAGTAGTGTAGCATGATTATACAAAGTAAATTGTACACAAAGTTCTATCCAATAAATGCTAATATAATGATGTATCACATCTATTCAAAGGATATCTCTCATTGTTGTCTTCATAAGATATATTTATTTATAATTTATGCGAAAGTGCTTTTATGTTTAAAATGAATTACCAAGACGTGAAAACATTTCGTGCAGGATAAACATGTTTTAAAGCAAATGGTATTTTCATTATTTTGATAAGAAGTGCATGAATATATGATAGAAGATAACAGGTAATGTGCTCAAATCATGTAGTCAGTGACGAAAATGTTTTACATTCAATGAACAGATGAAATGACATATCTCTCTTACCTACCTTGACTTTTAAATGTACAACCTTTAAAAGGAAAAAATTTCAAATTCCGATTATTAAGTTATTGACTAAATTAAACCTGAAGGTAACAGTCATTTGGAATAATAATAAAAAAGTATTAAGTGTCCAAGATTAGCTGAAATAAGACCATGTCTTATCGTGATTGAAAAACGAAAATTAAAATATAACTTTCAGACCATTCAGTAGTATCGTAATCATAACTACTACTTGGATAGGATGAGTTTAAATATGTTACATGTTGTTCAATGAAAATAAGATTTGAAAAGTCTAAGTTAACCAAAATGATGGTTACGTTTGATTGCATAGTAGTCACTAGTAAATTATTATGGGTTAATGTCTTTTTTTTCTTCAAATTTCTGTACTTTAGAATTTTGTGTATTTATTACTTATGATTCTGTACCAATTGAATGTCAAAATTACTTGAGATGCGAGAAATGTGTTTCTAAAAGCCTACTGATATACAGACTTAACTGTACGTAAGTGGATATGAAAATACTTAAATTTCTTATTTCAACAAAAAGATTTCATGTGTACTTCATAAGTTTGTGTCAAAAACAATGTAATAACGTTAATGAAATCTTCATTTATATATGAATAAACAGCTGGAAATGTGAACATTAACTTCGGTATTACTTGTACGAGAAATCTGAAACTTAAGACTTTCCATGTGTCTACTAGTATCCAGTATATCATTGGTATATTTATTCCCTTCTGAATGTGATTTAGAGCCTTTTCTTAACCCACGAATATTTCATGAGAATTGAAAGTTCTTTGTACTGACATCCTTATCAACTGTTGGTTGGACAATTTTGTTTGGTTCATGTATTTACGAGTAAGTCAAAATGAAAACGTGTATGTTTATTAAATGACACCGTAATATTTTCAAATTTATCAAAAGGTTTCTTCGCTTAATATAGTTGAATAATCTATTGGAAAAATTAATGTGGTTTCTCTTGGCTACAGCTTCAGACATACACTTTCTGCTACGAATGGATTTCCTATTTAAAATTATATTGGTAGACGTTTCAGTGACAAGCTGCTAAGCATAATAAGAAAATTTTTCACGTAATTAAAAATAGTCTATTTCCAGAAACGTATGTGAAATGCGTACATAGAAATTCAGTGATTGCGAGTAGACAGCGTACGCATTACGTTTATCTGTGACAGCGATCTTTTTGTTGGACATGTATTTTTTAAACGGATTGCAAACAGCAGATTTGATCTGAATATTCAAAGGTTAAACTATACTGTTTCTTGTTATTTTACTCGGTGGTGGCCAGTAGTGGGATTCAGGAGGCACGTTTCGTCTTATTTGCGACTCGTCGCCAGCATAACGGGGAATTACCAGCATCAACAAATAATACATTCTATTTCTGTTTTATGCGAATTTGTAAAACGCTAAACTAAGGACATTTCATATGGGATAATTTGACATAAATTTTCTGTCTACTGAAAACAGTAATTAGGAATATGTCAGAAGTACTTTTTAATTTTGCACTCATGTTTTCAATAAAGTGTTTAGTTATTGAAGCAATGTATGTATAAAATAATTTTTCATAGAGAATAGAATTAAAATAAAGAGCGTACAACTCATGGGAGTAGATATACTTCAAAGCGAAACCAAACGAAGAATTTATTAACCATGCAGAGTACATAGAATTTATTTAGAGTAGAAAGTAAGATAATATATACTCTACATAAAATGCATCAGAAAGAGATGTATTTCTCATGTAAGCATTTTCCTTTGCTGGTGTGAATACAGTTACTGCAAATCAACTAACTAGTTAACACTGAAATGTTTGAAGGTAAACAAAAAATTAGTGAATAATGTGATGAAAGTTGACATACTTAACTACATTTCCGCCCAATCAAATTGTTGTGAAATATTTCCTGACTACCGTAAAACATTTAAAATCAGCTCGATTTGGTCGTTTCGTGTCTAGGCAGTTCTCTTTTGCTAAGAGGTGTTACAACATGGCGTATTTACTACATACTGTCTTACCAGTGTAGACAGTTTCTTCTATTCAGTAATAAAACGGCACAAAACATTTTATTTGATATGTATGAGTCTGAATGCCACCTACCACCTTGGGCAGTAAAATATTTCTTTTTGAAATGTGATTAGCGACGGTTCAATTTTCTATTAGTCACAGCTGTTTGATGTATGGTAGCTTAATTCCTAGCGCTGTCTTACATTTTAACTTTAAGAATGAATAGCTATGTATTCACTAAGGATCTAAGCAGTTAGCAGTAAAGAGTTTCGAAATTGGTCTGGTAAGCTCAACCTAATTAATTTACAGTAATTTGACCTAACTGTTTAGATTTATGAGGCACATTATTTGTGATAGATTCTAGGAAACTGAAGTCTGATATCTGCCGTCAGTTTTGATACAATGACAAAATGTTGGAGATCGGCATGTGCCATAAACTAAAGGTATCTCATCGTCGAACTCCTCATATGTCAGCTTAATGACTGAGTGTACTTTAAAAATTGACTAGGTAGACCTCTCAAACATATCTATGCTGTTTTCACAAAGGACAAATGTACGGGACGTAAAGTACGATATTTTCTAATAGATTGACCAAGTAAACCGTCTTCTGGCTTAATTTAGGAAAATGTATGCGAACATGGAACTCATTGGCAGACTCATTATGATTTCATCCCCTTGTCTGTTTAGCTCACTGTTTAGTTTGAAATGAAAACACACAGTTAAATTCTGCACTATTTCTTTAAGTTTATCCACTGAGATTCTAATGTTCAGTATCTTTTCATTCATTTGTTCACATGTGTAAATAACTGTTTCCTAGGGAAAAATTTGTGAAAGACATTTACTAGAAAAGTGATACTCGACCCATGCTAATGACGGTATACATGCTAATTAGGCAGATTCTATTACCAAATACTGAATACTTGACATGGTTATGTTCGCTCAAAGATACAGTGTAAAGGTACAAAGAACTTTAACATAAACTAGTTATGTAGTCAATGTATTTACGACTATGTTTGGTTTTGGATTCGATGTAAACACAGTATTACAGCTAAAGTTTGTGTTCTTTTCTAAAACTTTTAGCAAATGACGGTTTATGGAAAATCAGTAAGAATATCAATTCAGTTTTCTAGATCTGAGTAACAAACAGACAGACAAAACCAACATAGAACCTCACACACTGGTGGATTGGTTCAAGTTGTCACAATTCATGGTAGTAGACAAAGACCAAGTGGATAGAAAAAGAATGGTGTCAAAGTAGACAAAGTAGTATGAATTAATAAACAATTTGAAGATAACAGTTTGTGAGAATATTCAAGTGTTAGAGGATGTAAAGAATGAATACATCTGCGCGACTGTGACCGATTTTCAGGATGTCACCAAGAGATCTCAACCACTGATTTTCAACGTCTTGGGGAGCCTAGCTAGGTAGTGTACATCCCACACTGCTCAAACGGACAGTCAGGGACTTCATGAACTATTACTTTTTCTTGGTCTGGTCACCATGAACTCCCTTCCAACCTTATTCTACTTCCTATAGCATGGCACATCGAGGTAGGGAGTGGATTGGCATGGACAGTACATATCCAAGGCATCTCAATCGACCAAGGTTCACAACATCTTCTATCGACTGGTCTAGTACCCTTCGTCTGACCTCGACACGGGTCACGCATTGATTCTACCAAACATGAGCAATGCTACTAAGACATATGTGATCAAAGCCCTATAACCGCTTCATATCTTGTACTTTTAGCAGCTATATCTCACAGCTGTGTAACAGAACAACGGTCTACAGCCCAGTGTACTCATCCTTTGATAGTTGGATATCTCGCCAGTCGGTGCCACAAATGACGCAGGTTAGCAAATTTTCTTATCATAAGCTTGAGTTTCATGAATCCGTTTTTCTTCTTTTGAAAACATCAAATATGCATTACGATGCAGAAGAGCGATTGATTGAGAAATTCGTAATTGACAGATAATTGCCAAGTTACAAAATTTGAATGCGACAATAATTCATGAAACCTTTGGTCAGTCACTAAATTTCGGTTCCTTCTATAATTGTTCCTAATTAGGATCAGCTGGCAAATTTCAAAAGTATCGCAATGAAATGAAAATACTGGTATGAACTTGAGAAGAAAACCAACCAGTGATTTAAAAAGTAGCATTCTAGCAAAACTATATGGTAAATTCATCGAACACACGTAATAAAGACTAGTGATATATTGATTTAATGAGAGTCTATAACTTACTTGTTCTTCTAGTGCTCGGACACGTTGTTTATGTGCACGTTCACGTGCTTCAAGTGCACGTTCCGCTTGAGCCTTACCACAGCGCAATCGTTCCATTTCTAGTTCACTTTCAGCACGATGTCGACTTGCCAGTTCATGTAGGTGTTTGGTATGCGCTTGTTCCATTTCAACTAATTTTAACTAGAATCAGAATAAGACCATTTAATAGCAGAAACGTTTTTTGCTTTTTGTTTTCTGTGTACTCATAAATGTTAGTCTCATGAGGCACTAAGATTGACTATATAAGTGAAAATAACTTATACAAATCAGTTAATGAACTTTCATTCTCTTACTAAGATCCGGTCCTTCGGTAACTTTTATAAAAAGAGGTTTTGTCATTTATTTCTAAATTATGCACGTAATTTTTTTGATTTCTTCTACCTATCCTTGTATTATTATTATTATTTATTATTAGTCCCTTGGGTTCCTAGTGGAACATAAGGCTTCAGTAGCATGCCTCCAGTGACCTCTGTTCTCTGAGATCTTTTGAACCTGGTCCCACGACAGCCCACAAGCTCTCATTTCCTCCTCGCACGACCTCCTCCATGTCACCGTTGGACGTCCAACTCGTCGCTTCCCATGGGGATTCCACTCGAGCAACTGGCCTGACGCGTGATGTCCCCAGTCGGCCTTCTCAGTGCATGCCCAATCCATCTCCACTTCCTCCTGCATATTTGTTGACTGATAGGTTCTTCGTTAGTTCGTTCCCAGAGTTCCTTGTTGCTTAATCTTACTATTCTGGCCATCTGATCTTCAGTAGCGAGCGTAAGCAGTTGTTGATGAATGTCTGTAGTTTATTAGAAATCCCTTTCGTAACGCGCCAATTCTCTGAACCATATAGAAGCACTGACCTGACGTTGGTGTTGAAAATCCGGATGTTGTTCATGCTTTATGCTGAGTGCAGAAGATCTCCACACTGGTTTCAGGCTAATGAACGCCTGTCTTGCTTTTCCGATTCTCACTTTGACATCCTCGTCTGTGGCGCCTGTAGTTGAAACAGTGCTTCCTAGATAGGTGAAGGAGGTTACTTCCTTCAAGTTTCTCCTGTTGATGGTGACTGGAGTTTGTTGTTGTTGTTGTTGTTGTTGTTGGTTGGGTATCTTCATCACCTCTGTCTTCTCTATATTCACTTGAAGTCCCGTCTTCGCTGCCTCACCTCTTCTAACAACTTGTTAGTTTTTGCCTATAGATCTTCAAGTTTGTGTGACATTAGACACAAGTCATCATTGGCGAAATCCAAATCTTCTGGGGTGTTTTCCCCGGTCCAGCGTATCTCCCTCTTCTCGCTGCCCACTGTTTGTTGCATGATCCAGTCCACCACAATCAGGAATATCATGTGTGATAGTAGGCAACCTTGTCTTACTCCTGTCTTCACTTCAAAAGCATCACTGAGCTTCCCATTGTGAATTACTTTATTCTTGTATTAGTTCCGACAAATTTTGTTTTGTCTATTTCTTTATCTTCAATCTTGGCGTCAGGTATGGCAACCCAAATCGTCACGCAGTATCGCCAGGTCCCATGTGCAGGTTCATTAGCTGACTGCAGTTCTAAAATTAACATTTTAAGATTTTTTGATGAATTTTACTTATAACGAATAGATAATGAACGGATTGTATGGTTCGTTCAAGAGATTCGACAATATGGTTTTAGACGAAGAAATTTCCTGGATTAAATGAAAGTGATTTTGAGACTGGTAGTTATTCAAAAGTGAGATATTTTTTTTCGTACTATGTCAACAAGGTGAGAAGATTGAGGTGGATTTTTAAGTATTCATGTAGCCAGTAAATTTCACTTGATGTATTCGTTTATGCAAGATATCTTTGTACAATAATTCTTGGAACAAAATAATGCAACAAGCATAACTTTTAAAGCATTTCCAATGAGCTTTAAGCATGTAGAAAATGAAATTTTACAGCAAATATAACCATCATTATTTTCATAAGGATATGAAACCGACCAAATTGAAGTCAAATTACCCAGTGAAGATTCGAATGAAACAGAATAATTTAAGAGGTAGGTGATCTAGACAATTTAAAAGCAGCTTGTAAGGCATAATGATTGCAAGCAGATGTGAGGATTTTTCACTTTTGGAGTATTGTTTGATATCATAATTTGAATTCCATAAAGATTAGCGTATTTTGTTCTACCTTTTAACCACACGGTCATAGAAACACTCAGAATAGTTGCTTTTGATGAACAGAACATTGTTATGTACACGTCGATATGCACATGATTTACTGTTGATTAGATCATTTGAGATGATGACTGAAGTTGAAAGAAATCTTTGATCTTGGCAGAATAATATAGACACGAATTGCGTGCATAGCTATTCATGCAACTTTACATAACAGTATGGTAAAGAATGATAGTCCTAAAAACTAAATTAGTTGGTTGGAGCAAGTGACTGACAATCCATTCGTTGTTTATTGAATCAACACTAATTACGTGCAATGGAAATCACCCAGGACGTGTTTCAGATACACTTGGAATCTTACATTCTGTATCACAAATCAAAAGAGTGAGAACTAGAAACACGTAAATCGTGTCTCAAGTTGTAGAGTTGCTTTGATATGAATATTGGCAATAAATTGTGTCCAAAAAGTTATCCAGTAAATAATAATGCTTAATTGCGAATTAAATACCACAAAAAATATAGTGAAACTACAATCTACCACAGTTCAAAGGTTTTATTTATATAATAATGATATAACTTTTTTCCTTAAAAGTTTACATAATTTTCATAATTTGATTCTGTCAAATATAGATCCTTATGACAGCTTCCCACCAGTAAAGCGAGAATTCTTGTTACCCGTAGATTTTCCATCACATTGCCGTTACATTTATGTAGTTGAAATAAAACAACAAAAATGCTACCACTACTAGTTACAACTTGATGCTCATTCCTGCAGTAGAAGTATATATCCTTGAAACTTCTAGATTCTAGAAATAAGTGAATTTTGCTTTGTTTTGATTTTGCTTAATATGAACAAGAGAGTTTTTGCACTCTGCTTTCATATTTTTTACTGCATCATGCATTTGGCATAGAATGAAAGCCTTAAAAGGTGTGTCAAATTTTGTTCAATCTTTGAGCAAAGAAATGAACCCTTCATTTAAATGAGATTTAGTACAAACAAGATGTGAGGATGAATATCGTTCATTTCACCTTCGCTTTCAGAGCACTAGTAAATAGATAAAAAAGCAGTGATTAAAAATTACTAATGGATCTCTTTTGTTTTAAAAGTAATATTTATTGAAATTTCAGAGTGAAGCGTATTCACTTGATCTAGTAAATTTGCAGTAATTAGAAGAGGTCAACTAACATCTTTTAGTGAGTTCTGAGGATAGAATTTTACTTTGTTGTAAATCAAGAGGATGCTTTCAAAACAGATACTAGCAAATACAACTAATATTATTCTTTACATAAATTTCAACAAAGACAAAAGTCACGGAAGACGAGTTCCGTGCCAGGACGAAACAGCTGTTCAGCGCTTACAATGGTCATACAGCTGGTGTCGGTTTTTGACTAATACTGCCTAGAATTTATTTTGATTCAAGAATTAAGTCGACTGCTCATAATTTTATTCTCATTAATACGAAAATGTTGACTGGGTTTAGAGACATGTTAGGGTCGTACAAGTTTATCGAGTTCATTTACACAGTGATAATGTAACGCTATTCACAATTGAGACTTCCTAGCCAGCTTTATTATTATTTCAGCAATTGAAGAAACTTCACCGATAAATTAACACAAAACCTATACCTGTCATACAAGGAGTGACTGGTGTGACTTAGCGGTCTAATGGAGAACTATCTTGTGTTTGAAGAGGTTGGTCCTGGGTTCGAGTCGTAGTGGGAAAAACACCTCTCACTTGGAGGCAGGCAAATCTGCCTAGTCACTAACTGTCATTACTACTATAAATGAAGAAACTTCCTGATAAAATAGGAATTCGGATTATTTTGCTTCATTTTTATCCCTGTTTTTATCTTTGTAAAAACTTACTTGTAAAAATTGAATTTGCTTCCGTCTGTCCGCATTCTCTTCTTCTAGACGTCGTAATGTTATTTCTAATTCTGTACGATCAAGATTACTTTTGTTTGCAATCTCCTCATTTTGTTGTTTTTCTCTTTCAGCTTTCTCTAGATGACGTCGAAGGTTATGTCTATCTTTTTCTAAGTGATTGCTTGATCTCATTAACTGATCGCGCATGTTTTCAACATCTGTTAAATTACGTTGTAAGCTTGACACTCTTTCTAACAGCTCTTGTCTCTCCCTCAAAATCTGAAAGAAGTAGATGATATGAAATTGCATTGTGATTTAGAACCAAGAGTTATTTAAAATCAGCGAACCATCTCTTAGTGGTAGTGTATCGTCATGATTTCCCCCCCTTATCCTTTAGGTTACAGGACCAGATGGAATCCCGCCAGAAGCACTGAAAACAGATGCAGAGACAACAGCGGACATGCTCACACCACTATTGCAGAAGGTCTGGAAGGAAAGAAAGGTGCCTGGCGATTGGAAGAAGGGTTACCTTGTCAAACTCCCGAGGAGGGGAGACCTCAGTGTTTGCAAGAACTGGTGCGGAATCATGCTGCTGTCCACTCCAAGCAAAATATTATGTCGCATCATCCTGGAGAGACTAAAGGGTGCGCTGGATTCAAAACGATGACCCAAACAGGCAGGCTTCAGGAAGTACAAGTCATGTGCGGACCGAATTGCAACACCATGCTACGCATCATCATAGAACAGAGCATAGAATGGCAGTCAACCCTCTACCTCAACTTCATCGAATTTGAAAATGCCTTTGACGGCGTCGACCGAGAAGTAATTTGGCAATTGCTCCAACACTATGGAATACCACAAACCTTTATCAACCTCATTCAACAACTATATGAAGACGTCACATGCCGAGTGATCCACAGTGGAAAGCTCAGTAACGCCTTCGAAGTGAAGACAGGAGTGAAACAAGGCTGTCTACTATCCCCCATGATATTCCTGATTGTGGTGGACTGGATCATGCAACAAACAGTGGGCAGCGAGAAGAGGGAGATACGCTGGACCGGGGAAAACATCCCAGAAGATTTGGATTTCGCCAATGATGACTTGTGTCTAATGTTACACAAACTTGAAGTTCTACAGGCGAGAACTAACAAGTTGTTAGAAGAGGTGAGGCAGCGAAGACGGGACTTCAAGTGAATATAGAGAAGACAGAGGTGGTGAAGATACCCAACCAACAACAACTGCAACAACAAACTCCAATCACCATCAACGGGAGAAACCTAAAGGAAGTAGCCTCCTTCACCTACCTAGGCAGCACTGTTTCAACTACAGGAGGCATAGGCAAAGATGAGGACGTCAAAGTCGGAATCGGAAAAGCAAGACAGGCGTTCATTAGCCTGAAACCAGTGTGGAGATCTACTGCACTCAGCATAAAGCATGAACAACATCATCATCATCATCATTATCAACATAGGACCAGGCATTACTGCGTAACGGTCCGAGTTGCCACACCTCACATCAGTTCATCAAGTAGAAAGGTAGTGAGGTGAAGGATGAAGATAAGTGAATGCAGTCAAAAGAAATATAAAGTACGAGAAGAAAGGAAAGAGGAGTGACAAAATAGTGAGATTCGGTATAGCGTTGTTAAGATGAGGATAATGTGTGTATACATCTGCGCCACTGACTTCGGTTCTGAGCCATATCACCTAGGGTCTCCAACCACTGGTTCCTCTTGTCCCGTGGACCCCAACCACCTAGTCTGCATCGTCCTACATGGCTTAAACCAACAGTCAGAGACTTCATACATTGGTGCCATGTTTTAGTCTGGCCACCTCGGGCCTTTTTCCAGCCTGAACCCACCTCAGCCAACATTGTGTGACGAGGCAATCGGTGACTAGGCATACGTAGTACGTGTCCCAACCATCTCAGTCGATGAAGGTTCACAACCTCGTCGACTGACTTACCTCTTCTCCCTAAAACTCTACACCTAACTTCTGCATTACTCACATGGTGACACCACGGAATACGTCCTATACTACGAAGGCAACGGTGGTCAAACACCTGAAGCCTTTTCATGTCTTCCACTTTCAATGGCCATGTTTCACAGCCATACAGTAGAACAGAGCGGACTGCTGTGCAGTACACGCGACCCTTAATAGACAAACGAATATCACGGCGGCGCCATAGGTGGCGCAAATTGGCAAAAGCCAATCGAGCCTTTTGTATCCGTGCAGAAATCTCATCGGCAACTAACCCACCGGGTTGATCCTACTTCCCAGGTAAGTGAAGTGGTCAACACACTCAACCACTTCACTCTCTATTGTTAACCGCGGTACCGCTGAAGACCAGTCCTGGAGCAAAAATTTGCATTTGGGTGGTGAAAATCGCATCCCAAACATTCTCAAATTCCCACTCAAAGTGTTCAGAAGACTCTGCATCTTGTCAGCGTCTTCACCTAACAGGACTATGTCATCTGCATATTCTAGATCTAAGGAAAATTCACCTGTGATCGGGTCAACGTCTTTGTAATTAGGTGACGAGAGGGAAACCTCCATAAGAATATCTATGATAAAATTAAATAAGAATGGGGATAGTGGGCATCCTTGACGGACACCACTTGATGAGTATAGCTCCCTGGACAACTCACCATAGGCTCTAACATGCCCACAAGTGTTCGAGTAGAGAGCTTTCAATAAGGTGATGTACTTACTAGGCACGCCTTTCAGTGACAGACACTGCCATAAGACTTCTCGATCAACGGAGTCAAATGCCGCCTTCAGGTCGAGAAATACAGCTATTGTCGGGCGTCTGTAAGCATGCCTATGTTCCAGGACCTGGCGCAGTGTGAATATTTGGTCGATACATCCACGGCCAGGTCTAAAGCCTGCCTGGTTTTCTCGGGCTTGCTGTTCCCGAGCTCCACTCAGGCGTCGGAGAATTATAGAACTTAGGATCTTAGACACTATGTTTGTCAGGCTGATTCCTCTGTGGTTATCACAAGAGGACTTCTCGCCTTTCTTGAAGACTGGGATGATGAGTGACTTAGACCAGTCGGAGGGGATCGTATTTGATTCCCATATACTGGCTAACACTTCCGTTAGCCTGACTAAGAGAACTCTACCACCATTCTTGTATACCTCAGCAGGTAGTCCGTCTGGTCCTGCTGCCCTTCCCCGTTTCAGGCTACCTACCGCTTTCTCAACTTCTTCTAGTGTTGGGGGACCTGTCTCTATGTCCCATTCAGGGTCCGACTGGATAGCGGGCAGCGCAATGGTGGCTGGAGGCCAGTTAAACTGTTCCTCAAAGTGTTCTGCCCATCGTCCCAGTCGCCTTCCCTGCGAGTGAATCGCAGATCCGTCCTTCTCCGCTATAACCTCACTAACTGTTGTTGACCATTTCCCCCCAGTCTCCTTAATAAGTCTAAATAACTGTCTACTGTTACCGATCGCCGCTGCCTTTTCCATCTCTTTAGCCTTTGCTGCCCACCACTGTTCACGATCGTTGCGCAGACTTTTCGTCAGTTTATTTTTAAGTTGCGCTCGCTCTTCATTGTACTCAGAGCCTGCAGGGATGCATTCACGTGCATCCATTAGTTTGGAAGAAGCTGCTGATATCCACTGGCTCTTTTTAGCCATTATCTTGGAGTCGGCTACAGTCTCCAGTGCTGCTTTTACAGTAGACTGAAGATGGCACCAAGCTTCTTCTGGATGAGTGACAGTCTTTTGTTCCGATAACTGCCTAGCCAACTTCTCACTGAACACGGCTTTGGTGTTTTCGTTGTCCAGCAGAACTCGTAGTGGTTTTGTTGCCAAATTTTTTCTACGTCCATTGAGACGCAGGCATATACGTGCTCGGACCAACGCATGATCGCTGTCCAAACACGTACTCCAGAAGGAGCGGCAGTCTTCCACCGATCCTCTCCAGCGATGACTAATAGCAATGTGGTCTATCTGTGTCCATCGCTGAGTCGAGCTCGGTGGACGCCAGGTCAGACAGTGCCTTTCTTTATGTCTGAAATTTGTGCTGGCTAAAAATAGGCGGTTATCTGAGCATAGTTGTAATAGGCGATCACCGTTATCTGTACGTTCAGCTGGGATTCCGAAAGTGCCACCTAAGTGCCTTTCTGCCTCACTCAGTCTACCCACCTGTGCGTTGAGGTCACCTGCAACAACCACTACGTCCGAACGTTTGGCTTTCGAGAGGAGGTTAGACAGTTTATGGTAGAACTCGTCCTTCACTTCATCCGAACTACAGTCAGTGGGTGCGTAAGCAGAGATTACAAAGAGACAACGGCGAGTCTCACTATTCCTTTTAGTTCTCACTGTGCCGTTCAGCCTCATAGCGCAGAGGCGACTATCAACTGGGATCCAGTCTAGTAGTGAGTTTTCTGCCCTGGTGCTTAATGCTATACCTACACCTGCAAGACCACGAGAGCTAGCTATCGAATCTCCAGAAACTCGAAGGGTGAATTTTGCAGATTCACCAGATTGGTCAGGAGAGGTCAGGTGAATAACCACACTTGGGTCCTGTATGCGTGTCTCACAAACACAGCACACATCCATGCCCGAGTTGCTAGAGTCTTTGCCAACGAAGCCTGTTGGCCAATTTGACGGAGGGTGCGGACATTGAAGGCTCCAATATGTAATTTGGAGCGTGGTTTAAGGAGACCAGGGATGCTGTTCTGTGGACTCAGATCGTTGTCGAAGGCTGCAGAGGTAGGAGAAATTGAAGATGATGCAGCATCATTAATTAAGAGACGTGAAGGAAGATTAGAAGGTAATGATGGAGGAGGAGGATAGCAGTCAGAAGAAACTTGGGTGCTGACAGAGTTGTGAGGGCGGTTGACACTTCCCGGCTGCCCACACCGTGGAAGGCTATTTCTTCTTAAGGTACCTGAAAGAGATTTGTGTGACCGCAGAGCCCATCGGACATCTGCTTGAGGCCTGTCACACCCAGCCTTTTGAGTATGATTATTTTGAATTTTTGTATTTTTGGGGCCGGATGGTCGAAAGGAAACGACAAGTGAACCAACACCGCCGGCCCGGCAGACCGTGGGGCGTGGTGGAGTGTGTTATTTTTGGGGCCGACCTTTTCTAACCCCCCCTTCCACTGAGAAGGCAGCATCAGCTTGGCACTGCTGGTCATCCAAGGGAAACACCTTACTGCTGTCACACCCCATCCAGCTAGCAGCAGTACGACTTCGCCCTCAGACCCCCATCATAGTGTAGCAATTTACACTATAACGGTAACTGCTTTTCGTCTAACCACTACCCAACAGACCTTTCTGGTATGGTAGGACCTCGAGGGAACAAGCGTTCCACCAGCATAGCTCGTTGGGTCATTGTGATATGCAAGCCCGACCACCACGTCAAGGTAGCAGCTATCGGTCGGGCATGAACAACATCCGAATTTTCAACACCAACGTCAGGTCAGTGCTTCTATATGGTTCAGAGACTTGGTGCGTTACGAAAGGGATTTCCAACAAACTGTAGACATTCATCAACAACTGCCTACACTGGCTCGTTACTGAAGCTCAGATGGCCAGAAAGAATAAGCAACAAGGAGCTGTGGGAACGAAACAACCAAGAACATATTGCCTAACAAATATGCAGGAGGAAGTGGAGATGGATTGGGCATACACTAAGAAGACCATTCGGGGACATCACTATTGAGAGTTATTGGGAAATTAAATGTAAGAAATAACTTCCTGAAGTTTCCCAATATTTTCTGATCTCTAAGATAAGAAGATGAAACCTGAGACGATTTAGATCAATAGCTGCAACACAGACTTATTCACCCTCAGTTTTGTCCTTCACTTATAGTAACTTTGTTAATTCAGGTTGTTTATTCTTCGATGAGACTTTATATTTTTGCCTCTGACATTTGCTCTCTGCCATTGTGAATAATGGAGGAGTAATAACTTGAATCCAATCATCCGTATTAGAAAGTGATGAATACTCTATAACTTAAAATCAAGAATGCTGTTACGGATTGACCTATGTTGACATATTTTTTGAGCACATTATTCACAGTTAAACTTCATGATAAGTTTATTGATAAAAAGGCTCTCAAAACTGCAAGTGAGTTTTCAAGAGAAAGTGTGTATTTTGACTTTTAAAATTTAGTCATACTTAAATTCATTCGTTGTTTCGATTAACCTCTCGGTGGTTTTGCAAAATATTTTAAGGTATAAGCTAGATAAGTATAAAACGCAGCTATTTAATGGAAAGACATTTCAATATGGACATATTTATGTATATCAAGTACAATTTCCTCTTATTACTACTTTCCTAAAAACTTACCGTTTGGAGTTGTTTATTAAGCTCCTGTTCATTTTCTTGCCGTTTGTCAAGGATGTTATTTGTTTGACGAATTTGACTCTCAAGTTCACTACGTCGAAGTTCAGCATCAGATAATTCACTTTGTAATGACTGTATTCTCTCACCTAACTGTTGGTTTTGATGTTTTTGATCATGTAACACAGTACGTGTATTATCCAAACGCTCCTTAATTATCATAGTCAGTGAAAATAAACAATATTTATTTTAGGCAATGAGATGCAGCTATTGAGAATATGTATATAAAACTTTTACTGAAGTATAATACTTAACAGTGTATTATGTTAAATCTTGTTTTACTCGGAGTGTTGATTATAATGATGGGTATTTGGATTTATACTTAACTGATTTTAGATAGGAGATACGGTAAAGACAAGGTATACTTTAAATGTATTAGGGAAGCTTGGGGACTTTGGCAGAGAAATAAGAAATTTTATATGACGAAATTGAAAAAGTTATTCAACATTATCGTAAATCGTCTGCAAGATGGGTTGATAGAATGACCTATAAATAAAAAATCTACATGTAGAGAACAGTGCCTAAATTATCATAGTTTTTGTTCACATTCGTATAAACGGGCACCAATAAAGTGTTTGTTTAACTTTGTTCAAGGAATATGCATAAATGATAATCTACCAGTTCCAATGAAAGATGAATTTATCCTACTACCGTATACGGGTGATTCACAAAGTTTACCCACTAAATAAAGGCTTAAGGTAGCCATCCGAAGAACATATTATGCAGCGAACGTCGATATTAGAGAGAAAATAAAACTTAGGTGCTTTTGTAAACTCTCTCAGCATTTGAACGATGGAGTGACACCTAATTGCACATGTTAGTTTATATGTACGCGTGGTTACAATAATTGGAAATGACCGATCAATCCATGCGCGTAAGGGATGTGAAGCACACTCCGTAATGACTGTGACAACGAATCCATTCAAGTGACCTCATTCTTCCAGGCTGTAGGTGCTTAACTTTGTCCACAACTGAACTTGTCATTGAAACGGATCGAAATGTCGATTTGAGTGCTTCTTTCAAAACCATTTACAAAAGATATAGGGGACATGTGAAAAATTGTAGTGAAGTTTTGGGGATACGGAAGTTTAAATTTGTTTTATATATTCAAAAGCAATTTATTTTTACAATAAACCTCCCTTTATAACTCAGTTCTATTACCAAGGGTGATTTACATTGTCCTTCGCTTTCCATATATAAATTAACCTCCAAATTGACAATCTTATGTCATATTTCATATGAATATGCTTGATAAGTATATGCATCATCAGATTATTTGAAATCTTTTGCTTAAATGCACTACACGTTTCAGGCGAATTGCATCTTCTTAATTTTTGTTCAAGTAAGGCACTTAAGCACATAAAGCAGATATTACCTCTTGATGACTACCCACTGAAGTTCATAAAACAGTTTATAAGGATTCAGTAGAAGGAGAATTAACAATATTATATAAAATTGCAACATGAATAAGGTTGAATTTAAAGCTTTTGTAGTGTTGCATTGTAGTACGTAGAAAAGAAGTTCTGCGTACTATTTTAGACGATTCTGGAGTCAGGGTGGTAGTTAAACCAAAGTTCAGCTAACAGAGGAACTTTGTAGGCTGAAAGGTACCGTAGATCAAATGATACAAGATGACCTAGTCTTTCAGTTAACATATAATGATTTTCCGGCCAAGTAGATAGAGTCAAAGTAGCCAATCTGCGCCAGTTTGGATATCGAGACTCAAAATGTTAGCGAAACAAGATATTAAACTTTGTTTATCGCTTTACATTCACAGATCAATAATCACGCCATAGGGTAATAGTCATAATTTCCAATACACTTAGGTGGAGGGATAGATTGATTACTGAAGTTTTATTCATCGAATTAGTGCCTGAAACATGCAGCGGGAATGACTCGTTGCACATTGCAGTTCATTGGGAATTTTTATACCACTAAAAGGAATGAAGGCCTGTCAGACTTTGAAAATAAAGTTTGAAAGCTATGTGATTACTTTGACAAGAATAATAGCGATAAGTTCTGCTCAGAATTTATCAAGCATCAAGCAGACTGATATAATACGGAGTGTGCTGTACCTAACAAAGTCCTATGAAAACAATACATACAGTTAAATAAATGCTGTGAATAATATCATTCATAATATATTTGAGAAAACAAACCTGTATTATTCGTCTGTCATTTTCTGAATTTGTTAAGGCTTTCTGTAAATGTACTAAACGTTCCTGTAATTCTAATATAGTTTGATTATGCTCTGAAAGACTTGAATTTAGCTGTTGCACTTTATCTTTGCTTGAACTTTCTAATTCTTCTGTTTTAGCTAATGCTGTACCCAGACGGTCAACTGTTAACTGTAATGACTGAGATTTAGATTCTAAGTCCTAAAGTAATTAGAATTACGATACAGTTATGTAAAATATGTACTATTCAACAAAATTATATCTGAAGATCATCATAAGTATAACGTTTAAAAATGAGTTTATTATAATTTCATAAGAGTTAGCGAAAAGTAAGTATCGAGAAATACTACCGCTTTCCTTACCAAATAGGTTTTTGATAAACTGATATTTAAAGTATTAATTTTATTTGGCGAGCACTGGAGAGTTCATTCCTTTTTATTTGCATTTCAGCAACAAGATTCCCATCCTCTACTATTCTTAAGAATCATATCTTCAATATTCAAACCTATTCGTGAGCACTAGTTCCAAACTCAATAGTCAAGATTTATCGATTTCACTTGGTGTGTATGTCAGTTTTGCTTCTTAAATCTATCATCTGTGACTGGCTTAAACTCAAACATAATTGTCCTTAAACCGGTGGTTTTGCACTAAAAAAAGAGGAATAATAGCTCGATAGATAGCTACATATTACTTGTTACTCCAGTACTAAGTAGATATTACTGTTGGTTTCATCAGTAAGAAAATATAAAGGATCAACTTTCGAATTAGTGGTTAGCAAGTAATTAGGTTAGCATGCGATTTATATGTTTTTGTTTTTCCACCAAAAATAAGCTGGCAATATGGTCTGTAGGAAAACGTTTGGTCAAAATAAGCATTTGCCTATAACTATTTTGTTTTAGTGGATATTTATAGGCTATTGGTTAATTAAAGTCTGCTTCATGCCTCCACTTGTTTGTCCTTATAATAAGCGTCGGTTAAGTAGAGCTCAAATAATTTTAATTATGATGTTGTTGTTCGCTCGTTATTTTAATTACTAGTAAATAAAGTTGGAAAAAGTTCAGATGCCTAGACCTAGTTTCACACAAAATGCTGTTCTATGCTGTGTGTGGATTGGTGCTTATCGAATTAATTATTAATTGACTAGGAAGCAGTATTTGCTAATGATTTGGTGTATACATTCTACTTTCCAAACTCCATTTTCATATATGCAAGAGTTAGAAGTGATGGATTTCAAATTTATTACATTTATGGTGTGTACTATGACATTTTATGAGATAGTTGATTTTTCGGCACCTGATGCGAATATTTTATAAACAAATGACAACTGTGAATTACTGATTATGCAAATAATGGATATTCAGTATTCGAGTGTAACACTAATTCTAATCGGTATTATCAACATTTTATTCTTGTCATTCCAAGAAATTCAAAGTGGAACAGAATTAAGAAGGTATTTTCTTGTCACCTTATGTAGTCTGATGCATGAACTAAATGATTCAGTTTTGAAGTACATGAATTCATTGACTAGATATCACATAGATGTCGGCGACTAGTAGAGGAATTCAGGATGCGCGTTCCATCCTATTTAGGACTCGTCAACTGGATGTACTGGAGTCGAGCAATTTGACCCTGTATAGCAACAGAAAATTACAAGTTTCATAACATTTACTGGATATAGTAAACATTCAGTACAAGAACTACCGAATAATTATATTCAAAAGTTTGTTACGGGTATCATCTTACCTGTATTTGTTTGCATAGATTTTGACACCTATCTTCAAGTATTTGATTTTCAGTTTCCTTATCACTTACACACATTTTTAAACGTTGTAATTCACCTTCTAATGATCTTCTAGTTACTTCAAGCTGGGTGATACGATTTTCAGCCTCATCCAAGGCTCTTCGACTAAGACGCCGTTCTTCTTCTAGGCGTGCACTAACTTGACGCAAATGCATTATTTTTTCCTTTTATTGATAAGAATTAATATGAAATAAATTTTTTGAGAACTTTATAGAGGCTATTATCTAAACAATCCTTAATTTCTTATCAACATAAACCATGACACTTTTAAGATGCACAAGTAAAACAGAAGCAATTAGCTTTTTGAGATATAACGGGTACTTGCTCTTAACTCTACGTTGTTTAGTGGTCATGACATAAACATTTTGATTTAAATAAGAGTCGACACTTAAACCATAAAGTTCTTAACTGTTGACACATAAAGATCAACCTTATTGCAATCATGGATATGGAATAGAAATAGATGAGGATTTACAAAATGAAACCAGGATCAATTAGGGGACCTGAATTTCAGATTGATCAGATCTTTACGTATTCTCCAGATATAACAACAGGCTGTCTTAATTCAAACTCCTGAAGTGCAGATTTCCCTGCACTACTTATTTTATTATTCCATAAATAGACAGTAGTGAGACAAAGGAGCAATTAACTAGTTAACTCTGGCGATACTGACGTGAAACACCGAAGTGAACAGGTATATCTAGTTATTTTTAAATGTTTTGTCAAAACTATCAAAAATAGTACGCATTTTACCACCTGATTTATGTAGCACTACAATGAGAATATTTTTTTTGCTTGATACTTCTAATCTCCCGTTGCTATACTGAGTCAAATCGACCAACCGCTGTTAGCAGATGAGCTTCTATGAAGATACTTTGATGCTACCTGATTACGCATCTGCTGGTTACCGGTAGTGGAATCCAGGACGTACGTTTCATCTTATTTAGGACTGGTCAGCTGGGTGTATCTGCACCCCAGTGAGAGATGTTGTTTTCACTGAGACTCGAACTCAGAATTCATCGCCTCAAACTTCAAAGCGTCATCCACTGGGCCACTGGGACACAACAACCACCTCTTGTGAAACGGGTATCAGGTATTGTTTGATACTTGTAATATTCCTTTCCTATACTGGGTCGAATTACCCAATCTCTGTTAACAGATGGCTGACGAGTCCGAAATAGGATGAAATGGGCATCCTGGAATCCACTGCTGACCACCAAGGAGATTACGATAGAAAGAGAATAATTTTTGTTTACATCAATTTATGCGTGAGTGAAAACACCAAACTATCCAATTATGTTATTCCGCATGATTGTTCTTTTCTGATCAATTCATTTAAAAATAAAAGTGATGTTATGAGGAAAATCTTAGACAGTGACTGTTAATCCATAAAATATCTATACTATTTAACTTCAACAAAATATCGTGTCGTATTTCTGTGACTGATTGCTAATATATCCTTTTTAATTAAATATATAACGTACGAAAAATATCCATCAAAACATACAAGTATGCAAAGGGTAGTTTGAAGGACAGATCATTTTGGCGAAATATATTGTCAGAGCCGTTTCACTGACATGCTTGTAATAAACGTATATTTTTAAACAGTTACAGAGATCAGCTAACACTGAAGCTCACTGTATACACTGTCTCGATAAAAGATGGATAATCAACCTGTCGTACAAAGGAGAGTCAAATAATGATTTTGAGACACAAGATATCATTAGAAGAACATATTACACAGCTAAGCTTACCATTGTTGAACAAATAAATCAGATGCATCATCCCTAACCCTTATACCACATGGACGATTACATCACATCCCACTGTTTAAGAATTCACATGCATATGTAAACAAAAACGCAAAGGGAGTAGTAGTCAAGCCATGCGTTTGACTGTGAAGGAATATGTACACGAATGACTCAGAAAAAGCTGGTACCTCGAGACTTGATTAGGGCAGCTAGTGGACAATCTCAATCCATAGCTAAACATATTATTGTAACGGTCACAAAATTATTATCAAGATATCTTTTGAAATTCAATACGCAAACTACTAGGGTCAATTTGTTAGTACATAGGCCAGTTTTGGTAAACTATCTGATTTTATCATACAGGTTGATGCAAAAAAATGTTGTTTTTTCATGAGTTTTCTTTTTCGTACCATACGTGATCTGATTTTTGCATTCTTAGATAACGTGACTTGATAAGTAAATGTATGGTTAGACTGTTCAAAATGTTCATTCAAATGCATTCAATTTATCAGGCAAATGTCATTTAATTATGATGTCCAAATCTATAGAAGGGACTAATTGTTTTAAGTATCATCATCTTGATATTGACCCTCTAAATAACCATAAAACGTATTTACGTGCCAGAATAACTGTAGACGAAAGTGTTTAAGGGACTATTTTTTTAGAACTCAATATCAAAGGTACATGTTGTAGAATAAATTTAATCAGTTTTTTTAATAATATTACCCACTTAAGCATTTTTCAAAAAGAAAAGTGATATGTTTTTCAAAGAACTATTAGTTTTCACAATTTCAGTCAGTTTTAATATGTTTAGTAATGATGGGCAGTGGCTAGCAGTGGAATCCAGGATGCGCATTTCCACTGCTAGCCACTGCCCATCATTACTAAACATAGTTAAAAGACAGGCAATATCGAGGCATCCGCATAGGATCCCATATGCCAACAGAGACTGATCAATTCGGTCCAATCAGTGACGGTGTAATACAAGCAATAACACTAATTTTAATATGTATTCACAAAAGAATCCACTTTAAGTAATATACAACAAAGTATAGACATTAATCACCTGGTCCTCACGTTTCTCATTTTCCATTGTAGAAATCTGTCTTTCCAGTTGACTGATTTTCTCCGCCATTATTTTTCTATCACGTTCATTTTGTCTTAGTGTTTCTTCTTGCAACATAAGAGCAGTTTGAGTGCTTGATAAACGTCCATCTACTCCTTTTTTGTCTATATCATAAATATGTAAAAATAATTCAAAAGTGTTCATAAAATGCAGGATCAAGTTTAAATTAGTAAGTAAGAGGTTTTTGTATTTCTTTCAAAAATAGCCAATACATGTTAAGGTGATTTTCAGAAAGATTGCTTCATTTCAGTCTTCTGTAATTTAGATAAGTGGATAGCACAATGATCTATGGTCCCCCAGAAAATATCATTGTTTCAATTAAAGGGCCTACAAGTTACCAAATGTGTGTAAAAAGACATCCATTTTTACTGATTTATTAGATTTATCACACAGTATAACAGTAACATATCAAGATGATGATATGACTATGGACGATAAATTATTTTCGAAACGTAATCCAGTAAACAATACTGTTTCACTGTATGATAAATCCAATAAATCAATAAAAATTTAATTACATTCTACCACACTGCACAAGTTTTACTCTAATAAAAAGACATTCAGTTTGTGTAGTTGATTGTATATTCCACAATTTCACTCGAAATCGTTCTTAATAGTTTGAGTTGTATTTTGATTCGCAGCTTTCGGTGCATAGAATAAATAAACACCACTTCCCCTATTGTTGACTGTTTCACTTCACAATGAAATGATGTGAAACCCTGGCTCATATTCTTCTGACATTCAAGTTTTCATTTCAGCACCAGTCATCTTCATTTTATTGGTCAAAACAGAACTGTCTCAAATAGTGTAATTAATAATATGCTGTTTCAGTAAATTTAATGAATTTCCTTAAGCTATAAATTTGTTCTACCAATGAATTGCTCGTTAGTTGAATAAAATAACTGAGGCCTGCTTCATATACCAACTCATCCCTTTTGTAAATATAGATTGTTTTCCAAATAAGAGGTATAGAAGGAAAAGCCTTATAGTGGTGAAAATACGTTTTTTCACTAGTTTAAATTTGTAAATTGAGAATTGATTCATATGTTGGTAGATACTCTCAGCTAGTGGCTTGAAACGCGATGCTGTCATTGTGTTCCTAGATAACATCATCAATGAAATGATCTAAACAAATTGAGATATAAGGGGTTCAGTAGCTTGCCCTGATAACTTGAGATGTAACTAGTCCTTTTTTATATGTATGCTTTTTTACACAGAATGCATATTTCTATTGACTGTTTCCATTAACCGTAATTGTGTTTAGCATTTGAATTGGTTGACAAAAGGAATTCATATTTGGAAACCTGGTAACTGTAGCCTAATCTGAGTAGAAGGCATCTGAAAATGTTTTTCCAAACTTTATCTTTCCTCTATCCGTGATGTCTACATTTAAAAAGTAGGATTCATGTTCATAGTTGTTTACATATAATTGAAGGAGAGTAGTTTGTGACGCTCAGCAATCAACTGATGTTCTCACAGGTAGAAACGAAGATGATGACTATATTCTGTATTGTAATCTTTCTCTCTGCTTCGTTGATCACCTTTACCGTTCTGTATTTATTGACTTTATATTCATTGACTGACAGATATAGTCTATTTCGACATGCATAAGGCTGTCATCACTTTGTTACTATCTATTTGAATTACTTAGACCTTCTTTAAGAAATCTGTTTGCAGTAGTCGTAGCTGCTGTGAATTCGAGTTTTAGACCGCAGTATGTTGTCGGACAAGACTGATAAAGCTCGTCGAATAAGTCATACGTGATAACTAGTGTCATTAATATCTACCAAGAATTCTGAAACGCCATATGAAGTTAGTGACCATGATATGAATTATTCATATAGTATGTATTGACGAATGAATGATACAATTAGCTGTAAGTACTGAAAATAATTTGAATGATTGTATTTCTCTGTTGAATTAGAACGTATTGCAAACTGAATTAAAGCATTTCTATTATTTGAATTTCTACACGCCTAATTATTTGGTTGGAGGCAATCAGTAGGAATCTCTGGGCCCAAGTCAATTGTCAGTTGAACAAATGAATTTTTCACCTGTAGGTTACAGTTGCTTTCATGTGATGGTAAAGGATTTGTTGGTCCCGTAATCTTTTTATTGCCGATATTCATTTAAATATGCCTGATATTTTCCATAAGATAACTAACTTTCTTTTGCTGATGTAAGGAGTGTAGATAATAGAAAGCATGTTGTAAATTGAGTAAAACAGCTAATGTGTTGTCTTAAATAGATTTCTTACGAGATACTACGTATGCAAAGATAATCTTTTTTGTGTGCACTTACATTCTACCAATATAGTCAAGTTGTAAATATTACTTAATCAATGAAATTGGAGAACCGTATTCCATTTTCGAAATAAGACTCAAATTTATTACTTAAAGGATAATCTTACACAAGTTCACAAATAAAGCGAAATGTATAAGATGTTGAAGTTCCAATAGAAAAAGATACATTTCAAAGTTTGTAACTAAATAGTGAAGCACAAAACTTTGACATATTGAATATCTTTTGGTAAATCTTAAATAATTTTGATAACGACTTTTATGTATCGGATAACGCTAGTGTGAGAAAAACCTAATAGTTTGGTTTTGAGTTAGTCAGAAGGATTTTCTCACCTTTAGATAACCACAAGTATCTATAGCAGTAGACAAGTGTCGATCATTTAGCTACAGATGCAGTGAAAGAATATTTAAAGGGACAAAATTATAATTATTCTGTTGAATATCATATTGAAAGGTTTTTAATGCACTTCAATACAAAGTTCTGAAACATGAATAAAGCTATATAAGGTAAAACAAAACGGTTTTTAGAATCGTGGAATTATCTGAAGAGTGCGCGTAAATAGTCGTAGCTAACATGACAATACATTTCAATTTAGAGAAGTTAATTGGAGAAGTAATGTATCGCTTGAGAGTTACTTAGGGTAAAGTCTAAAGTCAAACAATGTTTTCAATCATTAAAGTGAAGTTAACAATCATTTTTCACTCCTAATTTTTAAAGCAAAATGCTGCGATTCAGAAACTTTTTGTCCTTAAATAACCGTTGTATTTTGTGATCTTTAGGAATAAAAGCATCGACCTATCTACTGATGATACTTTCATCTTCTGAAAATTTTTTTACGCCATCGTTTCGTGCTAAAAAAGGGAACTGCTGACAAAATGATGTTCCTCTTAAATGTTGAAGTATTACGTGCATAAATGCGTAATATACTGCAATAAAAAAATATTCAGCTTTGTGGGCTTTATAAGCATAAGTTAGCGTTCTGTTGACAGCAAACTACTCGATATGTGGAATGCAAGTCATAATTATCATTTTAAGGGCGAGGTAATTGGCAAAAAGCTGTGGATGCTTGTTGGCACTTCTCATTAGGGTGTATCTGCAACTTTGATGGAACTGATATCTAAGAAATCCGAATTCGTTTCACTCACTGTTGCAGTCAGGGACGTTACCATTGAGCTGTTTTGGCTGCAACCGACCCTCTTTAGAACCGTACGATATAGATTGACGGGTCACTGAAGAGTAACCAACTTCACGTTACATCGTTCTATACCTTTCGTTCATTTCCCATTGTGCTCACTGAGCTAGGAGGCTCGACATTCCAAGGAATCGAGGGGAGATGAATTCCTTCGAGGATGCAAATGTATCTCGCCAATGAGTTTCAGCAAGCATGAGATCTAAGTCTAGGGCTTCCTACCCACTATACCCAACTACTTAATATCAGTTGAAAGTGCACCATGACATTGAGCCTCGTAGCTTGATGCAAACACTAAAAAATGATTGATGGGATTCGATCAACACTTAGAACTACATAGGAGATCGATTACTCTCAGCTGGTCAGTCAATGTGCACTTATTATGTTCATTATTAGTTTTGGGTAGACAGAAATACAATGATCAGGTCTAGCACGATACAAACTAAATAAGGTTAAAAAGTTCATGCAAACAGAGCATACCTGCTTCAGCTTCACATAAAGCCTGTTGAAGTTGATGAAGTCGGCGAGCCCACTGTTCAGTTTGTTCAGCTTGCTCATTTAATCGAGAGTGAAGTGATGCAATCTGCGCTTGTGCATCTTCATAATCTCGTTTGATTGAAGAATATCTCTGTACGAACTCACGTAAGGCCAAACGAACTGCTTCAGGATCGATATCTAATGCATTTAGCGACCCATCACCTGGGTATGACCTGGATATATTTGAACATTTAGAATCACCAGCCGCATCTAAAACCATATAAATATCAGAAGTATTCGTTCGCAATAAGTGAGAAGTGAATGATGAAAAAAAGTACGGATGAACAAGATGCAGTATGTGTACTGAATCTTGAGTATCGCATAATCTAAGACATACTTCACTTGTCTCTCAACACAATAAGTGAATGTTTAACTGTGTCAGAAATTCATCCTCTTTTTGAGTAGATTCTGAAGAACAGGTTTCAAAAATGTGGAAAACTATTGAAAAGCTATAATTATTAAATCATCCCCTCGATAATATAACTTATTTACATGATAAATTCCTAATTTAGAGCTCTTGTAAAATGGAGTAAGGCAACATATAATGGTTTGTTTTTATAGCGGTTTAAACTTTTCCTGTAAATGACCGTTACAACTGGTTTATAGCTATATAATCTTCACAAAAAGCTTTTTCATCTATATCAATCTCTACAGTTATAAATTTAAGGAGAGTATAAAGTTGATGGTCTAAACAGCAAATTTCTATAGAAATATCGAATTTCAATAATATATTACCCCTTCTATTTATTCTAAGTGACCTTCGTTCAAGGCAATTTGAAAATGAACGCATGATAAAATGACAACAGTTTGCAAAAGTGCAATCTTTCGTAGTAAAAATATTTCAAAAGGTGATTTTTACAAACGTTATCTGGAACTTCGGATATCGAACGGGAAATTGTGACACTTATTCACTTTATGCTTACATACATATATCCCTGGAGTGCATTCTGTAAGCTGTTCCGAGCATGATGAAATACTAAATATTCGTAATGGGGTCCTAATGTCATGGAATGTAGGAAGTCTGCCCGTCACTTGGGACAAGTTGGGTTTATTGAAGTGTTTTCAAAAAAATATCGATCAAATAAGTTATGCTTAGCCTTTAATAATAAAAAAAAACACTGAGGAATTTCACTCAGAAAGAGGATTTTGATTTCGGGTTTCGTAATGTTTTTGTTTCTAAAATATATCATTCATTAAAAAAATTTGTTTACCATTAGCAGGAGAGTTATCCCGACTACCATTCGGACTTGTCCCTGTTCTTAGTTTACGAATTGGAGAAATGGAGGTTGAATCCCTTAGTCTTGACGGAGTTTTTGATCGATGGCGACTTTGATTAAAACCGATAAGTCGACGAAGTGAACTATGTATGCACGCTAATTTGAATTCCAAGTCTCTTCTTATTGATTCACTTCTTGACACCTGAGCTTCTAATGTACCTACGCGACCTTCAGCATCACTTAAAGCCAATCTGACTTCGGCCAAATCATTGTTAAGTGTTTCAGCGGCCGCCTCCAATTGGTTTCTTGTATCAGTTAGACGACGGTATTCACAATTTGCATGATCTGCCGCTTGTTTATATTCACGTTCTCTGCTGGACAGCAATTCTTGAAGATCACATATTCTTCTTTCACTAGTGGCCAGTTCCTTGCGAAGTTTAGAACTGTGGTAGTTAAATTTTTATCATGTTTAGGAAGTCAAATGTTTGAGAAAAATTGAAACAGATGCAGATATTAACTGTGAGAGAATATAATAAAACTTTTATTTGATAAAAATACCTTCAGGTCCTTACACATAGGAAAGTGTTTTAAATTCTTAAATAAGTGAATCCTAGTCGATAACCTCGCCTGGTTAACTAGTTCACTAGTTACTAACCGGTCCTAAGCCTGGATAAAGAGGGAAGGTTAGGCATAGGGCTAGCAACCCTACCCCGTAAAACCAATCTAACCGCTAAAGAAACTTCAAAACACAAACAAAATATAAAGAATAATAACAAAATTATTCCTCGTTGGAATCGGAGAGGCGAAATGACGCCAGTTGGTGAAAGCCTTTAGAAAGCCAGTCGGCTGATGTGTCTTCTCTCTCTCGATGAAAGCGAAAGTAAACATGAGGACATGGAATGTTCGCACCATGTATGAACCTAGCAAGGCTGCCCAGATTGCGAAAGAGATGGGGAGGTATGGCATGAAAGTGCTTGGAATCTGCGAAGGCAGAGGGAATGGACGTGGACTCTCTAAGCTGTCAACTGGAGAGTTAATAATCTATTCCGATATTGTCACCCGGACGACAACCACGAACACACTGAGTTTTAGAGTGGCTATCATGATGTCCCCGAGAGCATCGAAGGCTCTGATGTAGTAGGGAACCAGTCTCGTGCAGGATCGTGACAGTAAGATTCAACTCAAAAGGAAGGAAAGTCACAATCACACAATGCCACGCTGTGCACCTACAAATAATGCAGATGAAGAGAAGAAGGAGGAATTCTACAAACAACTGGAATCAGTACTAGAAAAGACATGGTGTAGTAATAATGATACTGATGATAATACTATATCACTGTGTTATAAATCAAATAAACAAGCCTAATATGGAATTGAATTCCACCAGTGTCCAAGTTTTACACCTATATCGTTTAAAATTATACTTTGAAACATTTGTTTCTAGTGGTTAAATAGTCGACTAATAAAGTTCTTATTACATTCAATTCACTTCAAGCGCTTCAGTAAGCTTACGAAATAATGACTGAGTGCAAAGTGATTTGAAAGGTAGTATAATATTTGACGCGTTGGTTATTTTTACTTAGCTTTTATTGTAGTCTGTCATTGTTTCAGTGTTGTATATAATTAACTTGGAACATCTGGTCTCATTATTCCTTGAAAGTATATTTTTATCATTGTAGTTTTTATTTAATCGTTCCCTGTTTCCCTACTTTTGGAAATCTTAAGTGCGGCCATAGTTTCAAGGCTGTTCCTGATATTTTGTTGATTGAGAAAAACTCACACTTCAAAGTGAACTTATAAGCATTTAAATACTGCATCATACAGTCATCTATATGTCATAATATAGATTTTCAGTATACAATTTCCGACGAATATGAAAAAAAGTATCTGAAATGTTTCGATTTATTTCATCCATTATAAAGCATGTCCCTCTCAGAATTCCACCTGAATCGCACATTAAAGCAAACGTGTGTTCTGAAAGTCATACGATTTGTCGAATTCATCTCAGGGTAATTGAGGTGTTACTGAAACAATTATTTCGAAAAAATTTAAATACGTAAAGAATATTCTTTTGATAACTTCTTCAGGTTCTACAGTTGTATTTTCATTTTGTGTAGTTTTCCGTCAACAACAGTGAGATTTTAATAATTCAAAGATCCTCATAGATTATTCAGAACAAGAATAATTCGAGCGAACAATTGTTTTCAATAACTTCTTCTTCAGGTCCTACAGTTATAAATCCATGAGAGTAGGTGAGATACAATCTCCAAAATAAGGCATGATGTACATTTTCGAAACAGTTAGTGTTATGGGTGAATGGAGATCAAATCGAGTGGAATGGTGGAATTGTTATCAGTCTAGTGTGTTAGCTGTGCAATGAAATCAATACTGACAGAACAATTACAAAATAAGGCTACAAAATCTACAGATAATGACTCATTTACATACATTTATTGGGCATTAATGTGTATGTGTTTGTTTACTAAAGGTCAAATAATAATTATATATTCAGGTGGGATAAAATCATATGAATGCTATGATGCAATACAGAAAAACAAATGCGAAGTGTTGCGTCACGGTCGGAAATGACTACTCGTGATGGTGTAAATAAAGAAGGGCGTAAAACTAGTAACATAAGAAAATGAATGTAAATCGATGTAACGACAAAATAGAAGGAAGGGATGGGAGGTTTCTGCAGAGAATCCCCCAACTGTATAATAATAATAATGACGAACTGTTGTAAGAAATCTCATTGTTGTTAGCGAGCAATTAAATAAGAAGAACCTATAGGTGTGGAACCTGAAGGAGTTATCAAAAAGGATATTCTTTGTTCATTTAAATGTCTTTTGTATTATAACTGGAATTTTTAAGGAGCTGAAGCAGTTATTTTCTTCCTGGTGAAATCGATTTTAACTATCCTAGTCATTGGTTAGACTGCTGGACGTATAAAATGCATTTTAAAACTGATTTAAAGACATTAAACTGATCTGCTTCAAGCATTACTGATTGTTAGTTAAACCCGAACTGCTATAACATAGGTTGACCGACACTGACTGACAAAATCAACGTAGAACCTTGGACACAGGTGCATCCGCTCAAGTTGCCACAATTCACACTACTACACAAGGAACAGCTGGATAGAAAAAGCATGGTATCAAAGTAGATAAAATAATGTGAGAGAATAAACAATCCGAAATAAATGTTAGTGCGAATATTCAGGCTTTAGAAGATGTCAAGGTGTAACTACGTCTGCGACATTGTGACTGATTTTTAGCCGTCACTAAGTGTCTTCAACCATTGATTCCTTTCGTTTCGAGGAACCCAATCAGACAGTCGATATCTCACACCAGCAGTAAGAGACTGCATCGACTTGTGTCACATCTTGGTCTGACCGCCATGAAACCTTTTCCAACCAAATATAACTCCCCTTAACATGCCATGTTAAGGTAAGACAATATCGTTTGGATACTGAGAGTCAACCAGATGATCTCCAGGTAAAAGCTTAATCTCTGTGATGTCACATGTACCTAAGGTTATGACCACTAGTGGCGAAATGAAATAGGAACGGTGACAATGGACATTTCTGGTGGACACCACTAGTTGTCTTCAACACGCATGACAACTCTCCATGATCCCTTACACGGCTTAGTGAGCTGAGTAAAGTACTTTTACTAGCGTTATATACTTGTGCGGTACTTCTTTCAGTCAAACACTGTCACAACATGTCATGGTTGGCACAGTCAAGTGCTGTCTTCACATCAACAAATATGACAAGTGTCTATCGCCAGTATGTCTATGTTTCAGAACCTGTTATAGGGTAAAAATATGATCCATACACCCTCATCCAGGTTTGAAACCTTTCTGGCTTTCTCGAGCTCCAGTTAGGAGTCAGATAACTATGGACACCAGGATCCTAGACATAGTGTTAATCAAACTAATTCCCCGATAGTTGTTTCGGGAAGATTTCTCTTCCTTCTCTCAGAGTTGGATAATCAGAGAAATACACCAGTCTGACAGCACTACCTCTGATTTCCACCCACTGCTTAGTACATCCGGCAGTTTCCTACCTCCATATTTGGAAAATTCAGGTGGAAAACTGTCAGGTTCTGCGGCTTTGGATTGCTTCAGGTTCGATACCGCTTTATAAACTTCAAGGAGAGTTGGATGACCAACATGTATGTGCCATTCAAATCCAGGCTGGATGTTGGGCAACTGAAGTGTTGCTGCGGACCAGTTGGACTCAGCTTTAGGGTGTCTTTATTGTGTTGTGTTCCCTGAACTGGATGGTTTAATCGTGAAGCTTTCATCGTCTTTCTAGACAACATCATCAATATGAAATGAGCTGTCAAAATTTCTCCGTGAGTCCTGACGAACTGGTTTGTGATTGATTGTTTCTTTTGATTATTGTGACATTGACTACATAGATTTTCTTGTTGGCTGTTTCTTCACTTGACCTCTGACCTTTCTGTTGTTTATCATCTTTCTTATTGACTGATAGATTGGGTCTATGTCTATGCATCTATTAATTGCTAACTTGCCTAGATACCAAGCTACTAAGAACTCCCTGATATTCTTCGTGCTTCATCTGTTCAAGATTTCTACATTGTCAACATTGAATTTATGTCCATAGTTATCCATGTGCATTGAGATGAGGAATGACATTTTGTGGCGTTTAATATTCAGTTGGTGTTCATGTAAACGAAGGCGAAGAGGGCGACCACATTTTCGAACGTAGTGTTGATTACAGTTATTGTAACTGATTTTGTAAATGATATTCGCTTTTTCCTCTTTGGCTGTTGTGCCCTTTGATCTGCATAATAAGATTTGAAGGGAATTTGTTGGTTTATGAGCTACACCAGTTCCAAGTGGTCTCAGTAATCTTGTATGATCTCTGATACACTCTTTATATACGGTGTGACGGTCCATTTGTTGATTTATGTCGATGACTTTGTAGTTGATGATGTACGGGATAAAGTTCCGTCGATAGCCGTTCTTCTTAACAGACATCGAGTAGTTTTCTTCGTTTCTTCGTGAAGCTGTTGTACTGCAGTGTGTTCTCGCTCTTTTGAATAGAGTTTGCACGCAGCTAGTTTTGTGCATTGTTGGGTTGTTACTGAGGATTCGATCAGTGTGCATTGGTTTTCTATACACTTGGGTCTCCAGTTTTTCGGGATTTGTTCTGCTGGCTAAAGCGCCGAGGAATGGCAGTTTGTTGTTCGACTCCCTCATTGTAAATTGGATGCCATTGAAAGTGTCATTGATCAAACTGTAAGTATTTTCTAAACCATCTTTTTAATGATGACAAAAGTATCGTTCACATAACGAATTCAAAGTTTTGGCTTGATCTCAAATAAAACAATAGTTTCAATCAATGCATCTGCAGTTAGTCTGGATATTGGTTATCCCATAGAGGTTCCTTTCATTTATTTGTATATCTTGCCATTAAATTGGATGTGTGTTGGCAGACAGAGATGGATAAGTTCCATTAGACTTGAACATTTTGGTTTTGTGAGTTCTGAAAGACTTGGGTCTTCAGTGATCAGGAAGGACATAGTCTCCTTGGTTAATCGTAGTTTGATTGAGGTGTATAATGCTTTGATATCGAAGGTTACCATTATTTCGTCGTTTTCCATATTAATGCCTTTGATCCTTCCTAGAAATTCTGCTGTTGGTATGACTGAATGTCCGCATGATTGAACAAGGTGTTTCAGTTTCCTCGAAAGTTCTATGGATGTGTTGTAAGTTGAAGTCCCAGGAAGTGAGACTCTGGGTCGCAGTGGTATGTCTGGTTGTTGTTGTTTTGATCTGCCGTAAAACCGAGGACGAATAGGTCCATTCAATTTCCTTCGCCATTTGTTTTGTTATTTCCTGTGCTTTGGAGAGTTTTTTCAACGTCTCATTGATCTGTTATTATTTATGGTTATACTTGTAATTCTCCGTTGAGGCATCTGCATAGTAGCCCATGTATCAGTAGAGGTCGAACAGTTCGACCCAATAACAATGGAGTATTACAAATATGCCAATAAGTAATAATAACTAATACCCCTTGTACAAGAAATAGCTACCATGTTTCCGTGGCATAGTGGATAAAGTCTTGGCGTTTGAAGCGATGGGTACGAGGTACGAGTTTTAGTGGGGGACAACATCACTCACTGGGGTGCAGGTACATCAGGCTGACGAGTCCCAAATAGGACGAAACGTGCGTCCTGCATTCTTCTGCTAGCCACAACCAACCAAATTATCATGATTTTGTTTATCTGATTGTCGAACGTTTAGACAGAGTTGGTTTCAAGTGGTCGATACACATTTTGAGCAAATCCTCTGCCTTCCTGATGAAATCTTCGTTGTCCACGACTATTTTGGTGCGTCCTTTATCTGCTGGAAGTATAACGATGTCATTTCAATTTTGTGGCTCTTTAATGTTTTCTGTTCCTGACTGTTTGTTCGAGGACATTGTTTTCCTCCTGGTCAGTGTTAGGATTACTTGCCATATTCCTTGTTGAGTGCCCTAATTTAATCCTGATGCTTTAAACGACGATTCTAATGCAGAAAATAATTCTGGTTTTGAAGCATATCTTGTGTTGTAATTCAATCCTTTCTGACGAAGTGGTTCTTCCATTTTTATTGGGGGTTGTTTTGATAGGTTGGTAACAATCGTTGGTTTCCTCCTTTGTAGGTGCTTCTGAAATTTTAAACAGCTTTTTCCTGAGAATGTCTTTCCGTTTTTTTGTATCGCCTGCTTGTTTCTTCAGTTACTGTTGTCAACGTTGTCATGTGTCGTGTTGTAAGTATGCTTTCTAATTTTCTCTTTTGATTGTCACTTCTAAATCTGCATTTTTGTATCAGATAATGGGCATCTGTGGTCGCCAATTGTGCCATTTGTATTCCACTTTATTTAGCTATTTTCCATCCCATTGGACAGTCAATCTCTGATCTATATCTGTCACTGTTCGCCAGAATATGCTGACGTACGCACTTATGAAGAAAGAAGAATTGTTCTTTTATGGAAATTTTCCTCTTGGAGAAGTTCTCCCATCTTCGAACTAAACGAAGCTTGTTTCAAAATCACACGAGTATAACAGACAATCAATCACAAACCAGTTCGTCAGGACAAGCTATTGAATATTCTCAGCTCACTTCCCATTGAAGTTAGTGCTGATGTTATCTAGAAAGACGATGAAAGCTCGACGATTAAACCACCCAGCTCAGGGAACACAACACAACCAAGATCATCTACCTGAGCTACTAATAATCTCCACCACTTCAGAGTGTTCTGCCCAACGTTTCAGCTGCCTGTTGTAGGAGGTTATCAGGGTCCTATCTTTTTCGGTTATGGGTTTATTCACTATCGTCTTTTCTTCGGTAACCTTAATAAGCCTAAAAGGTTGTCGGTTGTTACATAATGCTAATGCATTCTTCATTTCCTCGCAATTGACGCGAAGACTCTTAGTCAACTTACGTTTAACTTGCTTTCGTTCTTCATCGTGGTCGGAACCAGCCATCTGGAATCAGTTGTTTCGCACCAATCATTTCGGATAACGTTGCGGAAATCCAATGACATTTGCTAACCTCCGGGTGTAGTTAGCCAATTGTCTTTACCGCTGTTTCTACAGCAGACTTGATATCACGCCATATTACATCAGGATGAATATTATTGTCACGTTCAGATAAATGTTTAGCTGATTCATCGCTTAATGCATACTCGGCGTCGTCGAGCACAGATGGGCTTCACTGCCTTATGTTTCCTGCGACCAGTAAGGCGCAGACATACACGAACCCACACTATAGCATTGTCATAGCAAAGGTAGGCGCTCCAGGAAAAGCGACAATCCTTTAACGATGGCTTATAGCAATATTTTCTATGTGTCCATTGTTGGTTTAGTTTCAGTGGACACCGAGTAAGATAGTGTCTCTCCTTATGCTTAATGTCATTGCTGGGCAGAAATAAGTGACAGCTGGAACAAAATTGAAACAGACGAGGGCTAAAGTAAATAATGGAACTGACCTTCTTCTCTTTTTAATCGCTTCTTACGCCCTCGCTAACTACTGTTCGCATGAAGTGAAGATTGAGTTCTACCGAAAACCTTCTAGCCCCTTATTGTAGACCAAACGTTCAAACATGATTGTTGTTGCAAGTCATTTCAATGAAATCCATGTAAGAGACTAGGAATGAGGTTTCTATGGCTTTGATCGTCGCCGAATGAGAGGTGGGCTGAGGTGTAAGAGGCTTATTATCAGTATGGAGAGGTGAAAGCAAGGGAGGAGACAGTTGAGGAGGATAGTTTACGTTTAATTGGGTCTTGTCCACTACTGGGAGCTTGTGAACAGTTAGCATTTCATGGCTACCCACACCATTTAAGGCTATTTCTCCTTAATGTACCTGAAACAGAAAAATATTGCTTGAGGCCTGTCATACACGTCATTTTGTGGGTTTTTTTGGGGGGGGGGTTTAGTTATCCTGACCCCGGCTAGAGAGGACCTATACCGCTGGCACCGGAAGACTGCGGGGCAGATGAAGTGTGCTGTTTTTGGGATCGGCCTTTTCTGACCCTCCCCGTACCCATAGAGAAGGTACCATCATTGTGACACCGCTGGCCATCGGAGGGGAACACTTTATTGGTGGCATACTCTATCGAACTAGCAGTGGTACGATTTCGTTCTAAAACCACCATCGTAGTGTAGTAATTTACGCTAAAACGGCAACTACGTTTCGTCTTGTCACTATCTAACAGACCTTTCTTGTATGGTGGAACCTCGAGGGAACAAGCGTTCTACCAGTATAGCTCGTTGGATGATTGTGAAATGCCAACCCGACTTTCACGGTAAGGTATCAGCTATCGGTAGGGTTGGTTAAATTCGAAGTCTCTAGTCTTCCCATCGTATTTTTCGTTTCTCTCTTTCATTGCAAGTATTGTAAACTGCAGATAAACATTTTAAGTGATAACAAGATAAGTAACACGAAATCCATTTCACTAGCTGAGAATAAAGATTATTCTCGTATCACTGAGTTCTTATTAATTTCACTAATCAACTAAATAACGTCGTGTCACGCAAGTAATTACCAAATTCCGTACCTGAATTGAAACAGAATAGGAGATATGCCATCTTCGTTTCGTGTAAATAGCTAAGTGAACTGCAATTGCTGCACTGGCTTGAAATTAATTTATATCCCTATCAGATTCATCCGCATCCCAACTTCTAGCAGGTAATTAGTTTTCCAACTGTTAACGTTAAGCCATATAAGGAAGTTTTGTCTGTTCCCTTTCCTTTTATAAGATACTGATAATTAGTAGTTTGTGACCCTACTAATGTTAATCACGAAGATGTATTTGTCTTTCATCTTTAAAAAGATTATAAGCATCTTACAACTCTCCATTAACTTCTATTTTCTGCACACATTCACCTTCACGTTTTTAGGCTTTTCGTCTTTGTTAGTGTTTTACTTGGTTCTTGCGGCAAAGCATGGTAACTTGAATTTATGCATTTTGCTGCGTGCCTTCCAACAAGAGTATGATATTCTTTTTTCGACAAACACAATAAAAACAACTCAATTGATTAACTTTGAAAATATTAGAAATACGTTTTTCATAATCTTGTCATCTGTTCAAAAGCATCTCAGAGCATCTTCGGTTTTAGTAAGGCAGATGGTACACTGAAAGATTGTAAAGTTCTATTTTACAATGATATACAACTGCGCCTAGTCACACTCTATGGTAGTTATGTGTTGATCTCAATTTGTGTTCCGCTGTCTAGGCTGAAACTTTCAATAACAAGATGATCCACCGATAAAGAACTTAGTCAGAATGCTGTAGTATTGAATTATTCCTTTTAGATTACATCGTGTAAGATTTAGATACCAATAGCGGTTACTGAAGTTACTTTCATTAATCATTTTTGAGACTTCTTCAGTACGATATTTACGCCTACGATTTCTTACTTGTATACTTCAAAATTCACTCTCGTGATACAATTGCATTGCGTCAATGCTACCTTGAAACCTGAAATAGTTTAATCCTATTTTTTCTTTTCACACCTTTTCATGGCTTTGGCTTCCCAGCTTTGTTTCGCTAACTTTTCAATTCCCATCCTTTCTGTGATTATAATGTCATGAATTAAACAAGTGAAGTATTCTGTCTAATTTTGCACAGAATCGTCTGTAAACAACTAAATAACCCACTCAGTGTACACTGATGTCCTAGTGTAAAATGTGTCCTTCATACCTTTCTAAATCATGGTGTTTTTGTTTGACAGTGGGCAAGCACTCTTTGAATTGCTATGTAAATCACTAGTTTGGCCGATTTAAAATGAACGATGGCGACTATATAAATTTGTTCCTAATGCTTTCACGGGAATACTTACCGACAGGAATCGATTTCACCATTGCGTTGTTTCAAAATAGCGTTTTCTTGACGCAGTTCTTCATTCTTTTCTTCTTCACGTGTTATTCGAGACTGCATTTCTAGGATGTCTTTGGCTTGTCTTTCTCGATCTGATTGTGCATCTTTAAGCTGACGCCTTGCTTCTTGTAGGTCACGACGAACATCAAGACGAGCTTTCTCACTCTCACGAACACTTGCACGCAACTCACCAATTTCCTTACTATCTGAACACTTCTGCTCTTCAAATGCTGGAATGGGAAAATATGGTCATATATTTTAGGAAAAAAGCTAATAGTAATAACTTCTTTCTGAACCAAAAAAGTGTGAGTTCTCTTTTAGATTCAACGTAAACCTTGTTCTAAGAAATACTTATATTATTCGGAGGGGAATAGGCAGTTTTATTTCGAGTCCATTTTAAATTAGCACCAGGAGGTACTGTTTGGTTTATGAAATTTGGTATCTGTAACTGAACATCAGCAATCGAGATGGTGACTCTCAATTGACTTACTAAAAATCGATATACAATTGGTTGTTGAGTTATTCGCAAAGTGTCTTATTGTTTAACTATCGAAAACAGGTTTGTAGAAGCTATTATTAGTGATGCAGTTTATTCTTGACCGGTCGGTCAGTATGTGTTTCTTTATTAATGCTCACTTTAAAGGTGGTATTCACCATGGGTCTACATCAGCTGAAGTACTAAAGAAAACCTGGGAGGACTGGAAGTTGTTTTGTCTTGGTATGGGACTCTTCAGCTGTTCAGTGCTCCCGAGGTTTTACTGGTTTTTGACTAATCTCAGTTCATTATGAATAGCATCTTGAAATAAACCAATCCTCACAAATGTTCAAACTTAATGCTCACTTTGTTTTGCAGTTTTTAAGTATGTATAAGTCCTAAACTAAAATAAGCAGGAGTGAACTGAGATGCTTGTTATGGTTTTTTTTACCATTGATCCAATACTTCTTATTGGAGTAAATCAGTACGCCTGACGACGCAAATCGTAATCATTAGGTCAGGGTGTTTCAGTGTGAATAGATCTGTACGTTTTTTTTTACATCAAACATCGGTAAAACACTACTTGATGCTACTGAGGCAATCATTATTTCAAGAATCTCATGCAAACACAAACTTAATGGGCATTATAGGATCTAAGGTCAAATTCATACATATTTTCGTCCTCATAGAAACTACCCAGTTTCGAAACCAAAATAGGAGTTTATCTGGACATTTAGTTGCTTGTATGTATTTGAGTTGATCAAGTAATCTAATCTTCGTTGGTAATTCTTGATTTAGTCAATACGCTTAACAGATGTGACATAAGTCATGATATGAACCCCAGTAACTAAACTTTATTCGAGAAATATGTCAAAACACTTCATGTAATTCTAGGTTAGTAGGGATCTTTTAATGTAGTATTCATCACGGACAGACGTCATTTAGTAGAACTATTGAAAACCTGGTAGCACTGGACAGCCGTTACGTCCTAGTATGGGGCTCCTCAGCGGTACACACCCATGACCACCCGGCTACGGATACAACTCAGAACCTTCAGGTTTCATGGCGAATGCATTAAACCTTCATCCAATAAGTTGGCATTCATTGGTCGATAGTTTTCTACTTCTGCCAGTTCACGATATAGTGTGACTATCATTAAAGGTCTTTCGTTGACATGCGCTTCAGTTCCGACCGGTAGACACCGCGTGTCATGGCTACTCATTGGAACTTCGGGATATCCATTTCGAAGGTCATGATTTCGATTCTTAGCCGGTTTGTGGGTACGTACTGCCGAGGAGCCTTATACTATGACGAAATGGCTGTCCAGTGCTCCCAGGTATTCAGCAATTCTTCAGATGATGTCAATCCCTGGTGAGTACTATCTTAAAAACACTTCATATCGTCAGGAACCCTACCGGATATTTGTTGCTGTTGATCACTGAGTACTCTGTTTTGTTCAACACGTTCAGTCTCCAAAGATTGAACTCGTTTAACAAGGTTTTCTTTCGCTTCTTCTTTATTATCTCGATCACGCTGTGTTTCAGCTAGGGTTCGTCGCAGATCAATAATTTCTTTACGCAGTGTTTCTCGGGCTTCATCTGTTTCCTTTAAACGACGTGACAATTCGGCTATATTTTTCTGTAATCCATCTCTAACCTCCTCGAGTAGTGTTATTTGCATTTTCAATTCATTCACTTCATTCCTTGCATGGTCTCTTTCAGCAATTAATTGTGCAGATTTTACTTGAAGATTTTTCAAAGCTTGTTCATTGAGTGCACTATGAAAGAATTATAATAATCCAGAAGAAATTATTGCATAAAAAGATTGTATTCAATCCGTACTCACTTAAAAATAATAAAGGTAAATATTATTTTAAAATTGCATTAAGTTTTGTTTCATTTTCATTACCACCAGTTATTATATAATTTAGCAAGAAATAGAAGGTATATTATTTTCTTAAATGGCTTTATCTACGTGGCATAGTTGATTCTAAACCATACGATCATGTTACCTTGCATCTCGATATTTAGATGAAATGTTAAGTATTTTAACCTGTAACGATGTGAAACGGAATACTCGAGCCCTATTCGAGCCAATTCTAAGACCCACCTTGTGGGATTTATGGAGCTACGGGAAACTCAGAATAAATTACATTTGATTTCCATCTCAGTAACATTATTTCTATTCGTTATGATAGATCGATGGTTAATATTACGTATAATTTGCATCAGTGTAGTCTGAGCTTTGGATTACTTGGTTATAAAATTTTTGAATCGTACACTAGTGACTAAGTGAGAAACGGAAACTCGGAATGAACATAATCATTTTATAATAAGTTCCATATATTCTTCAGAAAGTGAAATTGGTAAATGGCAAAGATGCAGGTTAGTCGCCTAGGTGTGGGTTAATCGCTTATTCTCCGACACCTTCTCTATTGTTTGTATTTATTTCCCTGAACTTTTGTTTATTGTCTTTAGCTTTTTCAGAATATTTCTTCTTGTTTTCAACACTTAATGGTAGAAGCTATTATTCGTGGATGACTCAGTGTCAACATCTATACCTTATGTGTTGAATGAAGAGCATTCAGATACTTGACAGAATTTTCTTACTAAAGACTTAGAATGAATAAGAAATTCTTCTTTCAGTTTTCCTTAGAACCACCCTTGACCATCTAATATGAAATGCAATGTACCATGATGTTAAGTTATCAAATTTATTAAGTATGTTACATTTTTTATTCTGTGGATTTCTGTCACAATTGAAGACTAGACAAAATGATACTGGTTTTAATCTGCAACTGATACATGTGACTCAAAGGAATTATGATGTAATAAATGTGCGGTTTTGAGGATATTTTTTGCAGACCAATCTTTACCAATAGTCCAAACTGGCTGCATGATATTTTTATCATAGAAAATTGAACAGTACTTTAACGTACCATGTCTCCTCGTAATGCTGACGGAATTCCTTGAGTTCTCGTGTCAGTTCAACTTTAGCAATATCATCACGTTCGTGTCGTGCTGATGCTTCGCGTTTAATTCTTTCAATTTCTGACTCTAATGTTTTAATCTGTTGTAGAGCAGTATTCAATCGCTCGTTCAAGGTCGCTCGTTCTTGTTCACTGAAAGATAATAAGTTTTGTTTGTCCGCTTCATAAGCCAAAGTTATTTCATCTCTTTCACGTTGAAGTTTCATAAGCTGTAGGTATATGAAAAGGAATATTTATTGTGATAAGTATTCATTTCTCAAACATGTATTGTCAACAAATACTTGTGATAAATACTAATTAGGCCTAAAATATTCTTCACAGATGTAAAGAAAACACAAACAGATAAGTGGAAAAGATTCTTATGTTATTAAACACTTTTGGGAAGTTATTTACAATATCTCATAGTTTAGAGGGGTAGAAATTTTTAAAACAGAGTGAGCAATTTTGGCTCACTAAAACATCAAACTTGCTTTATCAGTTGTAAACTATCATGTCCAGAATATGGAATGAGATGGGAGTTTTTAAAGGGAATTTGTAGGAATAGAAACAAGAGATGTATAAAGATAATTTTGGATTTCTCTTAAAAGCCAAATTCACGTATGAACTTAGATTCTTAGCTCAGATACATGTCTATTAAATTCATCATTTATCAGTTGAGTTGCATTTTGAAAACTGGGAACACTTTTATTCTGCAGTATGAACAAACGTGATATTTGCGTTTGTAAACTACCGTCCATCCTCGCGTAAACGTAGGTCAAAACGTTTAAGTGTATACAAAGTACTATTATTATTACTACTAAAAGATATCCACACTATATATATGCATGCTACCATTAGATATGAGAAATAAGTCACTCGGGTTGGAATTTTAGGATTTTGTAAATTGCTGTTATTTCTATTTATTAATCGAGTATCAGAAAATAAACACATTGAAAATGTCACTGAGTATTGCACATATTTACAGTTAGCCAATATTTCATGAAACATCACAGTCAGTTCAGTCAGTCTTCGTTTACTGTGTTCTGTGAATTATGATGAATTTTATTTCTCTTCATCTGTGTGTTAATTTGGAATATCCAATAGTGCGATTACCTGATGGGGCATGAAATTAGCCCAAGATGAAATAAAACTTATTTTTTGAGTATTTTAACTAAAAATTGCTCTCGACTACTTCATAAAGGTGTTCAAAGGAGACAACCAATCACAAACCAGATCGTCAGAACGAGCTTATGAATCACTCAGAGGAGAAATATTGACAACTCATTTCATATTAAAGTTAGTGCTGATGATGTCTAGAAAGGCGATGAAAACTCCACGATCAAACCACCCAGCTCAGAAAACAGAACACAACGAAGATATTCTGTGGTAGAACTACAGAACAGAAAGACGGCTGACTTCCATTTAAAACGTGATCTAAACATTCGTCCTTAACTTTGATTTAGGATAGTGCCATTCATGTTTTATTGGTCCATTACTGACCTTGTCAAAGGTCATATCACTGACATTTTATTAGTTTGCTGTTAACCAATGCCTGACAAGACAATTTTTAAACAGTTTTTTCCTTCCTACGGAGCAATAAATCTCGGTTTCCCATTCTTGGCTTCTTTGTCTTTCATTAGTGTGGGGACCACTTGCCAGTGGTCGTTATCCACTGTTCTATGTCGATGTAATAGGGACACAACGACAGTTCCTAATTCGGAATCCATCAGTTAGTAGGAAGCTTCGATGGAGAATTATCTACTCACTTCACTCTATGAAATCTAATCAACTTTTAAGGTTTAACCTGAGCTATTTATTTGGAAAGTATTTTTAGATAATAGAACTCATTTTAGTTTTATTATACTTTTGATTCTAATGGATACCATTGACACAATTTTTCAATGTCCAACACCAGATGAAAAAGCGAGAAAAATCCATTAGGGCAAGAATTGAACAAAAAGTAACTCAGTGAAGAAAAGCTGCTTTTCAGTAAACCATTTATACAGTTTGTACAATCGTATTCATAGTTAAGATAAACGAGTAATTCAATTATTGGTAAATAAGTCAGTACTAGGTCATCGGGAAATGTTTTAGGAATAAATAGTAAATTATTGATAGGATAACAAGGGACTTGCATGACAACAGAAGTTGTATATAAAACATGTGATTATAACACCGTGAAGGTCTCTTGATTTTCTTCAACGGGAATTTTGATATTTTGGGTGAGAAATTATGAATTAACACATGTAAACTTAGAAAAGTAAACTGTGTGATAATAATGAAGTAATAAGCAGAACTGGAATATCGTACCAATAAATCTGGTCAAAGAAAGGTTATAACAAGGGGCGAAATAAGAGGTTATAAGTACCTTCTTTGTACTTATAGTTAATGCTTTGAATTTCGATGCTATGTCTAAGTGACAAATACTCTCTAACTTAGAGCAGTTTGGTTTAAATTCATATCGAATTTTAACCACGACTTTGGTAAACCAGCGTGATAAGATTAAACCGAATGATGAAAGATGAAAAGCACTTGTTAGTCAATATTTCCTCTTAGGTACGAAAGGGAATAGTTCTTGACGAAAAAGTAGGAAAGTGTTTGCTTTTGAACCAAAGGTAGCCAGAATCAAATGAGTAGTACTGACAGGCTTATAATCATATTCTCTTGAACGGTTATTTGTTCTTCACACTTTTAAAAATCAGCTGTTTATGAAAAGCGGCGATCCTAAGATCGGCATCAGGAAAAATGCCTAATTGGTGTTTGTAGTGTCAATTATATGAACTTAGTAGAAATAGCCATATCCACATTTTTTAAACTAAAAACATAGTATGACTTCAGTGGAAGTATTTGGTCTTTGGGCTTTTCTTTAGTCAGTCTGTCCTGCACAAGGTGTGAACCAGTTATTACTTCTCACTTTATGCTATGTTGTTTCATACTATGTGCTCCTGTTTTACTTGCCTTTTCGTATAATTCACTTTTAATCAGTATACAGTTGTTTCGCACCAGATCTGATAGTTGCACATTATGTATAACGACTTGTTTTCGATTACCTACATCCACTTTTTCTCCAACCAAATGTTGCCTTCTTTCATAGGGTTAAAATCTTTCTGGAGTTGTTTTCATTGGTTATTTTGCTCTGAAGTGTTCGTAGTTGTAAAATAACATTTTCTTTTTAATAATTATAATAATCTAAAAAAATTGAATTGCGGGAATTTGTCCTTTACTTCAATGTCTTATTACAGAACAGTATCTCTCACTAATTATTGTACATTTGCACTATGATCACCAACCATCATAAAAAGATAACCCTATGAAATTGTTATCGGCTTTTAAATTGTATCTGTTTTATTTCATCAGATATAGAAGTAAAAATTTAAATGCATTGGAATCATTTACAGAACACTTATGTACAAAGTGCTCTCATAAGGTGGTTCAGAAAAGTCACTTTAGGTAAATGCTTATTGTAGCTTAATGTTTTCTATGAGTTTGATTATGTACTCTTATGGCATTCAAAGACTACAAAGTTGCTTGTTATCACTTTTTGCTATAGGTAGCGTAGATAACACTATATTTTGCAGTGGTTTATTTCTTAACGGTATGAAACTGTACGGTAGTATTAGTCCACTTATACTTACTGAGGCACATTGAAGACAAGTGAGCAATGTATCTTAGATTTACAATCCACTCTCATAGTCCTTAAGTAGGGAATGCGTAGGTCAAACACCCTGTTTGATGAATAGTGAAGTTTTACAAGACAAGCCTTTTTCTGATGAAGGTAGTTAATAACTAAATATTTTAATTTATCTGCGGATATACATATCACTGACATCTATTTGTGCATTGTACAGGAAATGTGATATATCATTCTTGAGTAGCGTGTGATAAGGAACCCACATCAAGGGGTCTCAAAGCCTAAGGGGAAGACTACGGCATGAACTAATCTAGTGATATTTTTATCGTTGAATCTGTTTTGACTTCAAAATGGTCGAAGTGTTAGCTTATACTCCACGTGCACAACATTTATGCCCGTCTATGCGTATAGAATTCGAGCTGTGCCTTCCTTTAAAAATGAATTTACGGTTTTATTTCAAACGCTGCTGAAAAAAAAATACTCAACCGACCACTTTTAGGAAGAGTAAGATGAGGCTTAATTAAGGTTGAAATTTTCTGCTATTTTAGTCTATCATGAGCACTGTTTCACATTGTTAAACACAAGTGATGGTGCTTTGGTGTTCTCTGAGGTTTGATATTTTGTCGTGAACGTTTCATCACTAAGCTCAGTGACATCTTCAGCACTAACTTCATAAAGAAGATAGATAAAGCACAAAAAACATCAAACCGCCATCGTCCTCATCCTGAGCTACTAATCTTTCCCATCATGTTAGACACAAGTCTATAAATAGCTCATGTAATACACAGTTTATTTTGAATCCATCTTAAGAAAAGCAATAAATTCCAGTGTTTAGGATATTCCTGCTCTTTGCTACAAACATTTTTAGATGAAAAGTTGGTGCCTGAGTAATATCAAGTGACATATAAACGATTATGTCATAACAGTTTAATGTTCTTAGTTGTGACCGGAAGTATTTTTCTGGAAGCTTGATTTCGAAAACGTTTTAATTATGTTCTAAAGTTTAATGCTAGTGCTTTTATTGACAGTAAACGCTTTGAAATTTGGTTTTTAATTTTTTAGATGTATTACTGCTTACTGGTAAACTTATTCAGACTTAAGATAATTTGTATTGAATTGAGAGTGGAAAAAGGTTGTTTAATGGTCTATAAGACGATGTAGTTAACAATAGTGATAAAGAATTCGATAAGGTTAAATTATTCTTAGGTGTAAAAAGTGATGGTCGAGTGTCCACCTAACAGATGTTTCTTTCTTTCTCATCTTTTTTGTGTTTCACACCTATCATTAGTTTTCGCCTGGAAAAATTCCTCACCTTTCTCCTTAATTGCATAGCATCAAGATTGTGACATCTGGTTTACATAGTTTTCATGTTTTATGAGTTTTGTAGAGTAAATAGGTAGTATTCCCTAGCTATCTATCTGATGGAACAGTACTTCCTGAAATTCTAGTTTACAAGTGTCATATTTTACTACTTTCGGGATTGGCTAAGGAATTAAATATTTGAACTTAGCACTGACTGCAACTGGTAATTCAGAATTACGTAGGGAGAATAAGGGTTGCAACTAGATTATGTTTACTCCCAATCAGTATCAAGAAAACGGCTCCGTTAACCAACCTAATCGCACTACTAAATCCTTATATTCACAGCAGCGTGATCATCACAGCATAGACCCAACATTGTTTTAACGATAGCCAGTACGATCATAATACTGATTATAGTAGCACAGAACAGGAGATAGTCAACGAGAATGTGGTTACATATAAAAATGCTTTTCATGAGTCGACAAAACATCACATTTCAGTTTGTCTAAGCAGTCACAAATTATCACAGAGAGATGAAATAAGTTGCGAAAAAATATGTGATATGCTTGTTTAAGAATAATCATTAAAATAAAAACCGGAAGCTAAGTACAAATTTACAGCAGTTTACGAACCGATAGAGATTCATTAATTGTACCTTAAACTTATTGACTGTGTAGAAACGGAAAATGAAAATATCACTATTATCTGTAGGTTTTTCAGCTGCAGATATATTAATGGGATTAAGTATGATCAGTCTGTTTTATAGATTTAGCAAACATTTATTTGCATCGTCAAATAAATATCGATCATAGTCTCCAGTTGCACACAAAACTTTCAGAAGTCCTTAAACTCGTGAACGACCTTTATAATTTAAAGTATGACTATAAAAAAGCAGAAACGTTATATGCGCACAATTTTGTATCGTTCTCTTCTGTTACCGACCGTTTCGTTTTCATTCTACTATGAACAGTTTCTTAGAATGATATACTTCTTTCTGATTACAAATGGACAACGTGAATCTAACTGAAAACCTTCTGAAATTTTGGTAAAAATTATCCTGTTCTCAAAAATTAGGATTTAGAAAACTTTGATTTGTCATATTTCGCAGAATATATGTCAAAAACGTGATGTTTTCACTCAGTATTACAGTAAAAATGTAGTTCTGGTCTCAAAGATAATCATAAGTAAATGGTAAGTCTTCTAACTACCTTCAGTAACGGTGATTTTGTATTCGTTTAAAACGTAGTTATGTGAAAAAGACCGAATGTGTAGAAGAATTAAATCTAACTACCTGTAGTTTAACACGCTACCTGACTGTGATAATACACTTTCGTATATCTGTCGATTCTGCTCTACATCCAAAACTAGTTAATTAGGAGTGCAAAAAAATAAAACAGTGTCATCTAGCACTACAACAAAACAGTTTAAGTTTCTTAAACTTACAACTGCAATAAGTTGCATATTACGTAGGGCGGTGAGTACATTTTTTTCGAAAAACAATTAAACACCGAAATGTCAGTTACATTATGTTAAAATAGTGTTAAACTACTTACTACTTCCCAACTTTCTCAAGTTAACCTGAAAGACGTTGAACGTTTTCGAAGATTCCTTCTAGTTTTTTTAATACTTACTTGCATATCTTCTGGTTAGAATTTAAAAGTCAAATGCTTCACAAAAATGATGGGAATACTTACCTCGTTGTCAAAATCTTGCTTCTCTTTTTCTCCTTGTTTTATAATTTCTTTAATGGCTTCCTTGTGGCTTGAGGTGAGATCTCGAATATCCTTATCAGCCGTTTGTCGGCATTCTGTCAATTGGTTCCTCAATCTGGATATTTCTGCGTCAGCAGAGTTCTTTGCCAGTCTCATTGCTGCTTGCAATTCATCTTCACGCTTCTGTAGGACTTGAGAAGCTTGTTCGCGAGCTTGAAGTCCACGATCGATTTCTTGTTGAAGGTCTTCTTGTGTGCGCTTTAGTTCAACTTGTAATAAATAAATATGTAAATAGGATAAATATTTGGACAAAATTTATTTTTGCCAATCAATTACATATTTTCTTTCATTAATACCGGTAGAACTTAATTTTAACTCTAAGTGAAAACATATTTTTGTAAACTTGGATTAGATAAATTAAACCCGAAACTGAAGTGATAATATTGGTAAGGGTATTTTTCAACCCCAAATTTCTTTTTCAAAGGCGATTTCAGTCATTCTCTGAAGCCGTAAATCAGAAAATGTTGGAGTATAGATCTCTGAAACCATCTATTAAGAAAAGAAATATATATTGGATGAATAAAAGCTGGCATATGGTAGGCACTGACTTCATTGTTCCTTCACTAAATAAAAATCCTGACCCTCATCATAATGAAGTAATTTTTATAATTTGTTTAAATAAAAAAATTGTTTTTGGAAAATTATTGGTAAATTATGATCAGAAAAGTAAAATTTATCAGTCAGCATAAGTCTATATTTAGTTTGCACGTGTCGTAATCATCTATTATTAGAAATAAATCCACCTTAGTCGCAAAAAGGAATGTGATCGGCTAGAAATCCTATACAAAAGATGTTTTTGGAACTGTATATAAATATGACATTTAAACATCTATACCCATCAGTAACCAATAATAGTAAAACTAACCTAACAAATGTTCACGTTTTAGGTTTTGTTCCTGTAATTCGTTATCAAGTAAATCTCTTTTCGTTTCCAGCTGCATTACTTGCTGTTTAGCTTGATAATAGTCGGCTTCTAAATTTTCGTGCTCCTTTTTAAGTCCAGCAAGTATATCGCATGTTTGCCGTAACTCTCGACTAAGTGCAGTGATTTGTGTTGAAAGCTCACCCTTTTCTTTTGTTAAATCTTCTTTTTCTCTATTTAGGCGCCCAATGACGTCACGAAGTCGTTCAGAATCTCTATTCTTTTGAATAAGTTCATTGGTAAGACCGTTTTTATGTCTTGTAACAGCATTTAGCTAAAAAAATATAAACAACATAATATCATACTTGGCTTTTGTTTTTGAATGCTGAGGAAAAATTCGTTGTGTACTGTTTGAGTTCATTTTGCTTGTTTATTACATTTTTAGCAACATCTTTGACCTTTGTTTCAGTCTGCATCAGTGGCTTAGTAACGTAAAAGCAACTGAAAGATGTGAGTGAGACTTAAGTGTTATTTGTAAATTTTGTAGCCTTCATTAGATTTTGAAGAGAATAATTCTCTTTCAGCTATAATTGCATGAAATCTTCTACATAGCATTACTTACATTGATTAGTCACTGGAGGGTAACCAACTTCATATTGTCTAGTTCTATGTACAAACCGAATTCTACCGATCATTTCACAATGTGGCCACCAGACTGAGCAACTCAGCATCGCGATGCACTTTGATAGATGTTAGTTGGATGGAGGTAATCAGCAGTAGGCCCTGGTTTTGTGCTTGTTGGCACTCGTCAGCAGGGCTTAAATGCAACCAACGATGCTGAGCCACCCAGGCTGGTGGCCACATTGCGAAATGATAGATAGAATCCAGTCAGCACATAGAACCAGACAACATGAAGTTGGTTACCACCCAGTGACCAATCAGTGTGTCTAATCCAGTCGTACGGGTGTCGAGGTCTCAAATGGTTCAGTATAACGTCGCCGACTACAACACTGGGTGACGCGGGTTCGAATCTCAGGCTAGACATCTCTTCCATTTGGGTTGCATATATGCCTTGCTGACGATTGCCAACAAGCGCGAAACCTAGGTACACGGCTTCCTTCCGACTACCTCCATCCAACTAAGGTATAACATTAATAAGCGATAATCAGAACAGTAAAATCAAATACCTTCCTCCTAAATTCTAATAAAGTATAACTATGGTTTGGCAATACGATCTTTTCGAGAAATCTGAAGTGGTATGATTTTACGCTGTTATCTTGTTAAAACAGAATAATTGAAAGAAATACAGTATAGGTAACGAACTGTGGAAGCTAACGTAAATCACTGAATTCTATACTTTTGACTATTTTGTCGAAACAACGAATATTTGTGCATAAATCTGATGAATAAAATGTTTATTGACCCTAAACATAAGTTAACTCTTCTTGTACAATGTTTTTTTCTTGGGATGTTTTGTTTTGATAGTTCATCTTTGAGTTATATGCTGGACGAAACATTTATGAAAACACATTTTGTCCTGATATTATGCTGTGACTCACTTTTGCACTGTTCATAAAGAGAAGACTATGAGAGTTGCCCAATTGTCTGTCATTGTTAGTAACATTAATAAAGCAAAGAAATATAATATGAGCTAAACAGTAGATTGTACAAATATTTAATGGTATTCAGCAATATATTCTGTTTTCCAGAAAAGCTTAAAAGTAATGTTGTTAATCAATACAAGGTTCGTATCATCAAAACTTCTGATATCGTCAGTTTTTACACTTGTTTGAGGTTGTGTCCAATTTAGGAAATCTGCTTCTTGGCTTTCCCTTCTTACATGAAAAATATCTGCACTTAAATTCTACGTTACCGAAATGGCTATTTTCTAACTTTTTATATGATTCACATTCGTTTTTATTTTTCGTTTACCAATTCCTGGTTGTACTGTTAACTGTTTTCTATGAATATTCTACATCTTGAATTCCAAAGTCTTTTGTCGTTACTACCTAAAGCTACGGTGTGTAATCATAATTATTCGTTAATTATTATCAGAAAAACTCTTCTAAGCATATATACTGCAGTAATATTGAAATATATGTCAACCGTTGTGATGATGACAAGAAAACTGTATTAAACGTGAGAAAGCTTTGCGGTTTTACAAGTGTCGGTAGAAGATGGGAGATGGAAGTGTTAAATTTATTCTACCTGTTCCGTAATTTCCAGTTTTTCCCTGTTCAGACTACTGATTTCTTCTTCCAGTCTTTCACGCGCAGCCTCAGAAATCGTCAGTGCTTGGGAAACATTGTTCTTTTCGCAGATAACTTCATTCTTTTGAGATTCCATTTGAATAAGAGCTTCTTTCAAACTTGAACGATCAGCATCAGCACTTCGATAATCGGATGCTAGTTGGTTGTATTCTGCTTCTTGGTTACGTAACTGGCTCTGAAGAATTGATCTTTTGTTGGAAACCTCTTCCAATTTACTCTGGGAGTTTTAACATATAAAATTGTAGAGAAAGAATTTCAGTTAATCTATATTCTGGAATTAGATTTTTATTTTATTGTCTATGAAATAACATATTATTCATTGCTAGTTAACAGCAAAATGTCTACTAAATAACTAATCTGCGAAATTCATCAGTAACACCTCGAGTGGTACGTTTTTCACTCAGAGTAACCATATAAATTTATCATTGTCATTATTGACGATGATACCATAAGTTTTCGCACAACCTAGCAGTGGTGAGTGAGCTAATATGAACTTATGGAACTTCGCCAGTCAAAAAATGAGCACCATATCCACTGGTTTTTCTTCTTGTTTCATACTTCAGCTGACTACAAGCTTGCGAAACAAAACTCGAAGCGAATAACTGGTAAATAAGATCAAAATACCGAAGATAAGGTCACAACTTCATCTTATTTTAAAAAAACTGACATATTGTCTTTGTCATCGTCTACTAGACAATGATTACCACCAAAAGAGAGATTTTTCAAAAAGCTGCAAACTTTTAGTCAAAACTGCTTGATTTCATTTCATTCTGATGAAGCAGTCACATTGAGATTTTAAAATAAAATCCTCACAGTCAAGCCAGTGAATAACTAGAAAACTTACTGATATCAACAATCTATAGTTTATGCTAATATTGTAATTATACACTTATTTACGAGCACCTACTCTTGATTTCCAACTGCCGTCTTGTAATGGGTTTCAGAATACAACTACACCAGTATAAATCAAAATGAGGCAAAAAACTTGAAGGCACTCAGATTTCAGGTGAGCACAAGGATCTATCATGTGTTATGTTCTAAAATATCAGTTGTATTGAGAATCTTGAACTATAAAAACATATCTCCCAGCGCTGTGGCATCAGAAACATTGAACAGATGCTATAAACTCCAAGTTTCCATCATCTATGAGTCCGATCATCTAGTAGCTTCATTTCTTACTAGGTAATTCACTATAACGGAGACGAAGCTAAAACAACATTCACACTTTTTTTAATGAATTGAAAACGAGTTCTGGATATAAGCAAATATTGCCATGATTTGCACAAGTTCAGAAAGTGCAACATTTTGATTCTTTAATGAAGAGCTTTACATTGGTTTCTTGTTGTCAGTGTGACTTACCAAATAACGTCAAAATTTCATTTATTTCCATACAGTTACTGGGTTAACAGAGTTTTAATATAATCGCAGCCTACTTAATATTTGTCAGTCAACTTTTCAATGAAATCTTTTGACTGTGACAGGTTATTTACACGAAATTGTCATTGGGCCTACCAGCAGCTCTCTATAAGCTGCACCGACAGACTGTTCGATTAAGAGATTCATTTTCTTTCATTGAAAAAAGTTTACCTTACGATTGGCATGAAAGTTTCTCAAGGAACAGGTTTTGTGTGAACCACCAAGCATTGAAATAAAGCATATTCTTTCGAGAGGGTGTAGTACTGAAAAGCACTGACCATTTAGCTTAGTGAGTTAGTGGTGAAATTTCTTGTAGGTTTCCAATGAACTTTGACATATGCCAACTTACGTCATCTCTGCTAATAATGAAAAAAAAATATCCGACTACCTGTCAAATGACGAGTATACTACGCTGTAATCCAATTTGTTTAGTTACTGAACTGTAAGATGTAGTGTGGAAAGTCGAGATTATGAAGAGAACATAACGTTTTGACAATAGGTGTCTTCGTAGCACCACTTTAATATGTTTGACTTAACAGCCACATAAGATTTAGGTTAGGTGTACAATACTTGGCAAGAATGGCTAGTCAGTCAGTGAGGTTGTGAACCGTCACCCACGCATATCGCTTCGAAATACGTTACGCTTAATCACATAATGTCTATCTTGAACCATGACGTTAGCTGAAATGGGATTAGGTCGAAAGAAAGACGAAGGTGACTAGATTAAGAAGTGACACCAGTCTATGAAATCTCTGTCTATCGATCCCAATCAAGCATTTGGAAAGGAGTAGGTAGGCTGATTGACTGGGTTCCCCAAGAAGGCACAAATAAATTCTTGAATAATGTGCGAAATGCATGGAAATCGGCCACAATGATGCAGATGCATGCCCTCTTTGTCATGGTGAAAAGTTCCAATATTTTCACTATCCTTCATCTATTTGTTTTCCATCTTTACAAAATTTTGTCGACTTTAATATCATTGTATTCTAGTTTGGTTCTAATTTGTATGCTAGTGTGAAGTCTGGCAGCCTAAATTGATGCGCTTCTGTATCCCTTTGATTTGCATGTCCATCTGTCAAGTTCCTTTGAAGAGGTCATTATGTTATCTGTGTAAGCTGAAAGAATGTTGCTTAAAATGACACAGTTGCCTTTAGTGTCTCTACGCGGATTGTGTTACAGAAAACAAACTATACAGTTGTATGACTTAAAAATCATTTCTAATCTTTAGTTACATCTCTGCGACCTACTTGATTAAACTAAATGTGTCTGTATTTTTACAGCTTATTCGTAATAAACATTGTAATTTTATCTCAATGGCGTGAATGAAAAGTAATTGTTTGCATTACTTACTGACATACTTTTATCATTATTTAATAATGTTAAAGTGTTTGTTAGCACAGTATTGATGTTCTGTTCTTTGAATAAGTGAGTACATCTTCGGTTCAATATTCTGTACGAAGTGAGAGGTAATATATGTTTACGCATAACTGTACTTTTTTTAGTCGCATAGGATTTAAACTTTCTAAATAAAGTGACTAATTTTAGAATAAATATCTAAACAGTATGTTTAGATCGCTCTTATCTGGCTGATGAAACCTACAGATCAGCCCTAATGGTTTCTAACTACTGAAGTTGTTTATTGATATATTTCATTAGTCCAAGATATTTTTATGTTACAGATCACACTTTGTGATCTTGCCTGGGTGGTTTTCCACGGAAACCCCGTTGACAACATAGTTGGGAAATTGAAAGACTACTCAACTTTGAAAAACGTCAACGTGGACCGTGTGATTTGTACATCAATTGCAAATTTGGAAATCGCTTGTAATATGAAATATTTAAATTCATCATTATTCTGACTTTTATCACTACATGTCTTTCACTAATAAATCGCATGAATTCAACAATATGTGCAGTTTTTATATGCTTGATGTTCATACATTTTGAAGCCGTAATATTAGCTAAATTTAAAGTTATTAGAACATCACTATAACGATGATGACTAAAGAAGTGAGAATGTGATTATCATCCAACAGTTAAACGGTTATGAATTTCACTTGAAATACTATGCCAAATTAAGCAGAGACATGCTTCATTATCAGAGGCATTATCTGAGCACATTTCTAGGTAACTGAAGTTATATTTAGGTCTGGTTTTTATATGTTCGTCGAAGCTCATCTTGTAGATTCAATAAAAAGCAGTTCGGCGTTTACTTTTTAAACTTAAGATATCATTTCAGGAGAATTCGTAAGGAAATCAACTAATTTGGTTTTTAATCACTATCATTTTGGTGCTAAAAGTTAACGTGAGAATTGTAATCGAAATATCGATTTCGACATTCACACAAGGCGTATATTTTGCGCTTTTTACATATATAAGTTATGTTCATAGAACTACTAAGTTGTCTTCAAGGTAATTCACTTTCAACTAGAAGAAAAATTCAACATCAGGCTATTGAAAATGACAGTTCCTACATATGGATAACACCGAGACTGAATTTTAACTATTTACACTGTGAACATTCTTTTATTTTCCAGCAAATAATACTTCGAAATTGTATATCGCTGATTAGTTTTCCGCAAATCTCACGCTAAACTGAATTGATGTGTTGTTTCTTCATTCAAAGTTTCCTGACCAATGGTTACACGTAAACACACGTAACAGTCATTCATGAAGACTAAACAGATCAGAAAACGTTGTCACCGATTCTCCTTATAGTCAAAATTGCCTAAAATGAATAGTGCTTAAATAAATCCAGTGACTCCTAAGAGAAGAATCTAGATATCACATAGAAAATAACCCAAAACTCTTCAAAAATTATAAAAGTGATATTGACGATTAGTCCCTCAGATAAATTTACATAATGCAATGAGAAGAGGTTATCTCAGATATGCAATGAATTTGCGCAAAACATTTCGAACAATCTGGTCACTCACCTACTTGTCAAGGCATTTTATATGAAGGGTGAAAATAGGATGGGGTAAATAAATTAAGATAATACAAGATTTGGCAAATATTAAAGTGAGATCAAGATTATCAAGGAAGGTTTAAGGTAAGGAGAAGTTGATTTTGAATAAACGAAGGGGTTTTAACTTTCGTATAGCTTCAATGGATCTAAGAATACGGCATTGATGACTGTCATATAATGGTCTTAAGGTTGTTTTGGCGTCAATCCTGTCATCTGTTTCTATAATGTGTTTGTCTATAAACGATGACATCTGTCCGCCCCCTGTGTTTATCAGATTATCTGAATGTGATTGTTTTTCTAGCCATTTAAGGATATACTTCACAACCCTCGACTTTATAGTTCGATTACTCCTCCGAACTTATTTGTCACAACGCACACATGTAAATTGGAACACACAATGAGATAAAACGCAATCATCTATGTAGTGATAGGATTCATTTTGAACTATGGGTTTCTTTTTCTAAATAAAATTGAGCTTGAGTGCATTATGTCTTTTTAACAACTGAAATGAGCCCTGATCTTAAGATCATGCTATTTGGTTCCCCCTTATAAGGTGGCGAGATGTTGAGATGCTTCGAGACAGAAGACTCATTGGTTCGCTCTGTCGAGACGTTTTCGCAACAAATGATGGACTTCAGTGGATATGACTTTTTCATGAGTATCTCTGTTAAGAAATTGATTTCCTCTTCCAATTTATCTGCTGTGCACATATGTTGGTTCCTTTTGAGTAACCATTTTAACCAACCTCGTTTGTACTGTATTGTACAGAAACTATGAGAGTTTAGGTATTATCTGGTCCACATGGGTTTCTGTACACTGATATATTACCGACCCATCTTCGCTTCTTTTTTATGATATATCAAGAAAAGAGAGTTGGTTACTATTTTCTGTTTCAGAAGATAAACTGAAGTGGCTATAGGTAAACATACCATAGGGACAGGTGACAAGATTGACGCCAAAACAACCTTAAGACCATTATATGACAGTCATCAATGCCGTATTCTTAGATCCATTGAAGCTATACGAAAGTTAAAACCCCTTCGTTTATTCAAAATCAACTTCTCCTTACCTTAAACCTTCCTTGATAATCTTGATCTCACTTTAATATTTGCCAAATCTTGTATTATCTTAATTTATTTACCCCATCCTATTTTCACCCTTCATATAAAATGCCTTGACAAGTAGGTGAGTGACCAGATTGTTCGAAATGTTTTGCGCAAATTCATTGCATATCTGAGATAACCTCTTCTCATTACATTATCCAGCTATTGAATTCTCCCAATAAACCGACAATGTAAATTTTTGAAAATAAGAAATACATGGTTAAAATGATCAAGAAGAATGTCATGCAAGAATCGGTATCCATCTAAAGTAGTGCAATGACCAAAAATCCAATATACAGGGGCCATGATATCTTGCAATTTCAAGAAATATGCTATAGAATTAGTGAAAAGGAGACATTTCATATCCAGAAGCTGAAATCGTACTTAAAAGTACTATAGTCACTTTTTATCTAGGCTACAGGTTTGGTCCCTTTTGTTTTATAAGTTTTCGAATATTATTCCACTATAATTCTTTGGAAAACGCTTCGACTTTGTGTGAACTGTAGTAATTGTATCACGGTCTTCAGCTGACTTTATTTTTTTTAATTTGGCTCATTGTAAGCTGAAACCTACACGTTTTTAGGGTCCTGTTTCATTTACTTAAATACTACTGATTAATTGCTGAAATGAAAGGTTTTATTTATTGAAAAATTCAAAAATGTCCAACCCTGTTCTTGATGTCTTAGTTTGCATAAACTTACGAACCATTATATGTGGTATGTGAAGAAGTTAATTTGTAGTCATCCGGTTTAAGTGAGAAGCTCAGTGAAATCACACCTAGATTACCTCGAACAAATTATTATTGTTACAATTATTATTATTATCGCCCTTTGAAACATACATTCTGACATCTTGGTAATTTTGTGACAGTACTTGAAGAGCTAATTATTTATGAATGAATAACAATATGGTGATGTTTCATTCAAACGAAGCGTAATGTGTCATGATTTTGTTTTTTAAAAGTTTACTTCAATTCATTTTCGTTTACATGGCGAATGAAATTCTCTATGTACTGTTCACATAAACAATGATTGATCTATACTTCATATTGTGAATTATTACTACTTTCTTAACTCCTGCTTTCAGTGTCAAATTATGCAGTTCTTTCGGCAGAATGAAGAATGCCCAACAATAATATGGGAAATCTTCTTGGTTTACTTTCTAGTGAACCGATAACAGACCACCGGCCATAAATGTTAGTTGTCAGTACAAAAGTCAGTTCTAGCAGAAATACGATTAACTAAGACTAATTGAGAAAATATTTGTTTTCATCTACTCTAATTTATTAATTAGATCTTCAACTTGAAGAAAGTAAATCAATGCATTGTGAAAGTTTCAAATTGTAGCGATCTGGATATAGTAAATATGATTTCTACAGCCTTTCTCCATCTACATTAGGTGTATCTTAAAACTAAATTGATCTTTACTAGCTACAAAAAGTAGAATATAACTAACCATTAGAGATCAGGATGATTAAACCATTAAACGTTTGTTTTCTTTTGTTAGTACATGATTATACAAGAAACAAAATTGTATGAAACGATGTAAAGCCTTACTGTATTATTATTGGATAATAAAGTGAATACACTTTTGAAATAAAGTTGAAAGAATAATAATGTCTTGGGGCTAGATTGTTAAAAGTTCAACAATTAGTTTTGTCTTACATTATTAGCAAATAGTGAAAAATTCACTGTGTGAATTTACTGAGTTTTTATTTGTATTCTTAAAAACTTTTCCGTAAAGCTGTCATGTGAGTAATTGTTTAAGAATACTCTTCCTGAGATCTGTCTTGAAAATTTACTTCTTGTAACCACTAGTGACTTAGTGTACTTTACAGTTTATTAAAATATTTTGTGCCTATATTCTGACGAATTTACCATTCGAAGTGCAAAGGGAAATAGTTTCCTTGCAAAAACTTTAATTGGATAACAGCATGTTCTTTATTGTAAATACTTCCGGAAATTTTTGTAAAGTGTGAAAAATGTTGAGATAGTCGTCCACATTTTGATAGTGAACAAAGTGAGAAAAAGAAGTCTAAATAATAACTTAGTTTGAAACAATTTTGTATGTATTACTAATCCACTGCTTTATTATCTGACCTACGAGGTCTGTAAATAGTGATGTGCTTACATGAAGTCCTCAGAATCGAAATATAGAAGCCAAAATTAAGAATACAAATACATACTCAGTGTTATGTGAGAAGATACTATCGCAAATGAAACGGTTTTGGAAATGACACTTAAATTGAATCCAGTTTTGTTTTATTCCCTGCCATTGCATACTACTGTGAGAATAACTGAACTAAGTTATCACAGAATGATGTTAGTTGGAGAACCATTGAAAACCTGGGAGCACTGGACAGATGTTTCTCTCCAGTGTATGACTCCTCAGTAATGCACGCCCGTGACTGCATCAGAAACTGAATCCAGGAACTCCAGTTTCCGCAGTCAGCGCGTTACTCTTGGGCAACTGGGTCAGAATCCAATGGTATACTTTTCTTGCTTCTGCCAGTTTGCGATATAGCGTGACCTGAATCCGATGCAGTCGTTGAGCATTTGTCCTCAGGTTCGACTTGGTTTGCCCCACCGGTCACAATTCCTCATTAGTTCTCCGTACTTCACTAGTAACTTGCTTCGAGATGAGATTCCTGAAGTACTAATTAGAAGTCGTGACCGATAGAGCTAACCACGTCAGACTTGAGGACAGTTGCTCAACAGTGGTATTGCATTGAGGTCACGCTATATCATGAACTAACAGAAGTAGGAAAGTGTGGATGGTTGGATTACGATCCGGAGGCTCAGTGGTAACATGATGGCCGCAAAAGCTAAAGATCCTGGGTTTGATCTTTAGTGGAAGGGGGTCATGGGTGCTCACTGTTGAGGAGTTTCACACTAAGAAGGAACAGCTGTTCAGTGTTCCCAGGTTTCCAGTGGTCCTCCAACTGATTTCAGTCTATAATGAACGAAACTTGAGACCAATAAAGTAAATCCCCAAAAACTTCCAGAATGACCTTATTCATGTTGAATTTCAGTAACCGGATAAGTTTGAATGGACAGATTATGTATTTGAAACGTAGTTTTGGGTTCTGGCCAGGAAGCATTACTGAGTGATATTAAGGTAGCTGCAAAGTTCTTTTGAAATTTACAGAACGTAGACTTTTAAAGTAGCGAAATGTGTTGTTGTTTTTTGCATTGTCGATCAACTGACATCTGTTAACTGTAACTTTTCATAGGTGTACACAAAATGCTAACCTGTTCAAGCATATCCTAGTTCCTAGTGAGTTTGAATAGTAAACTGACTTTTATGTGTATTAATGTTATGAAGTAAACCGGATAAAATCTTAAGGTTTATCAATCAATAAAAAAGTAACTGTCTGCATATAAGTGGATTCATAGGTACAATATCCCCTTCAATGTGTACAATAATCATTGAATAACAAACGCATCACACTAACATAAAAGCTGTTACGAAAAATCATTTTTTTTCTGGTAAGGAAATAGTTTACACTGAATGTCACTTGAAACCTGCTAATACATAGTTCGACAGTTTTTAAGCTTCATAGGGTGCATTTTTATGTTATTGGAAACTGGTAGATAAAATTAATAATTGTGACTTCGATCTTGTTCATACATCTTGAATTATAAATTACCTGGAAGTCATCTATAATATGGTGAGTGTGAATGTCATTTAAAACCTGAGAATTAGGCTAATTATAAAAATCTTCATTTTTAAGCTTCAGTTCTGAATCTGGAATGCAGTGTTTACCTAAGCTTTAAAGAATATTATTTGGTGAAAAGAAATTTCCTATTAAAGATAACCGCACTCATGAAGTGAAAAGTACTTACCTGACACTTAGCTAGGTGTTCACCTAATGTTGCTTCATCAGAACGCAGTCGCGCTATTTCATTTTCTTGTTCTGCTTTACGAGTTTCAGCTCTTGTAAGAGCATCCTGAATATCTGCAAGTTCTTTTGCTTTAATCTCAGCTTCAAGTTTAGCTTTCTGTAGAGCACTTCGCAAGTTTGTTCCTTCCTCCCGTTCGGCTGACAATCTTTCCTCAAGTGTGTCAATACAACGTTGGCTGCGTTCTGACTCTCTTAGACATCGTTCGGCATCACGTTGAGCACAAGTTAACTCCTCTTCTAATGTATCTCTGTTTTTGTGCAGCTCACCATAAGCATTTTGAACTCGTTCTAGTTCGCTCTGTAGACTTTTTAGTTCTTCAGTTATATTTGAACGATGTCTTTCTAAATCTGCCTTTTCATTGCCTAGTGTTTGGATATTTGCTGTAATTCGTTTAACTTCTCTTCCCATATCCTCCTTTTCTCTTCTTACGTTATCCAGTTCTGTGCGCATATCTATCAACTGACGCTCCAAGTTTCTTCTTTCATTCTCGCTATCATCCAATTGACGCTTGATGGAGTCACATTGATCTTTTGTGGTGTTTAATTTTGCAGTTAGATCGGAGACCTAAATTTTTGTATATGAAAAAATTCAAAGATTTAGATTATGTATTCTAAATTTTTTGGAAGTGAAAATCAGTCATCTTATGATTGGTCACTAGTATATAGATAAAACAGCAGCAACCTTCTATCCTCATTTCTTTTATGAAAGATTTATTGTGGCCTTTCAAACTTAAACCCCATCATTTACATATCCACAGTTATATTGCGATTTATAACTGAAACTTACTTGTAGTCCACGTTTATGGAGTGCAGCTTGAACTGCTGATAACGTTGAATCAGCCCAATAACAGGCGTTTGTACTGTTAACCGGTGGTGGTGGTGATCCTGTGCGACCATAAGCTCCTGCTCTTGAGTTACGTAAACTATTGATTGACATTTTAGGATTTGAAGCATAACACGGTGAACGAGATCTTGACTGATGGAAACAGTTTTCAAAGCCTCCACAACCATCAGAAGGCATCAAATCATCATTGAGTATAGACTGTGAGATCTCTCGAAGTGTTTGATATAATGCTTGAGTTTCTTCAACCAAGGATCGCGCTGAAGGGTCACTGATATCTATTCCTTCTGTTGAAAAGAATCAGCACAATTAAAATGCTGGCGTATATACTGGTTCACATTAGTAAATTTTTAAAATAGCATTAGAAGTACTAAATAGACTTTTGTTTATAAGTAGCTAATTATAGCTAATAAAATAATGCCTTTGAGGTCATGATTTGGTGGAAAGTTGTTGAGTGGACCTTGTTCTACTTTTAAAACATAAATTCCATGAATGTTTTTCCTTTATGCAGTCTCAGTAATAAAAAAGTCATTTGAATATACAGATGCGCACAAAAAATATTTTTGAAATCCTGTTTAGTTGATAAAAGAAAATGAACAGCAAGTAAATTCAATGTTACTTCTTTCAAGCCTTATTTGTTAATGTGTAGGTAGATTTGCGTATAAAAATGTTATATCATGCATGACAACGCTTACTGACCCTTAGAACTTACCTAACTGCTTATCATGAGGAAAAAAAAGCAAGAACAATCTAGTTTATGGGAGAAAGCTTTTTCACTTTACCGTAAACGCGATTACAAAACTACAAGAATCTCCAGAAATAATTGACAGCATATCATATATCATTGGTATCTGTACCATGTATACTACTGTTTTGTTAACAGTGAGTTTGAATAATAAACTGACTTCTACGTGTATTAATTGTTATGAAGTAAAGCAGATAAAATCTTAAGGTTTAATGCTTGATTCTTATAGTTTTCTTCAGTCCACCGAAACAAATAGATGTGTAGGCTCTTATTTACCCTAACCTTGTGTGGACCTTCTCACGTAAAAATATGGCAAACTAGCTTTTAATCAGTAATAAAAACTATGCTTTATTGCGCATTCTAAATGTTCAGGAATACACTCTGTAAAAACATGAAGTTGCACTATGTAATAAATTCTGAATTTTGCATTCTCCATCTTTTATTGCTATAATCCTTATCTTCAGATAGCCTTGAAACTAACACTTCAAAGGTCATTTATTCGTCTGTCAAATTTGTCATTCATCACTCATTTTCAAATCATGATTGTATATTCGTGAGTAACAAGGTGTGGAAACTCCTTAGTTGAATGTGACTGCACTATGCTTGGCGGTCCCATTGAAACCGGAAACTATGACCCATATCTTAAAACACCATAGATTTATCCACTATATTGCTAAGTTACGATCACTACATTTTCTTCCGCAAGCACGTTTATTTTGTGGAATCTCGGTTTTTCTATGTTCAAGGGGATAAAATGACAAACTTCTGTTAATGTAAAGACTGTCTGTACCATTACCCCAATTAATAAATACGAACTGTTAAAAAGGAATAACAAAGTATCATTTCAAAAAGATCACACACCAGTTGAGTTTTCTATACTCATTGCTTGATAGATAAAAATGTCTTATAAATCAGTCAGATTTTGAAAATGATCTCATTCAGAAGGTTTAAAACCTCTTTTGGTCTGTATGAGACAATCATTCAGCACCATAATTCTGAGAGTTAAAAAAAATATATACTTGAAGTCTTCCAAATTTCAGGTTCTTTGTTGATTTTATCAGTCATTGTCAGTCAGAAATTCTTATTTATTGCCTTTTGACATCTGTTTAAAAATTAAATCAGTTAATTGTATCTATGCACGTGACAAGTGCACCATACTTTACACATGCCTTCAGGCTACTTTGCGATAATGCTTGAATACCATCACTTTCATAGAGAAAATTGATAGTTATTTTGTTTTTATCAGCCCAGATCAGGCTCTCCTAAACAACCTTCTCAGGAAAGAAGGTGCATAAATTATTCCTGAATCTATTTACCTTCACTAGATGGTTATTTATCTCGTGATTCATATTTTTAACTTAGAAACTATTTCTGATTTTATGCACTGGGCAATGAGACACAACTGCTGTATGAGGTTTGTGGTCTGTATTTGGCTATCTGGTCTTAGGTAGATGGATCTGAACTTGGAACTGTGACTCACTGGTTGAAAGTTGAACACCCTTGACAATGAGCTACAACGCTGCTAATTTCATAGCTGTATACGCTGACTGTTAGTCTTAACTACGTAGGTAATTTAAACTTTCTGGTTTTAGTCCTTCAGAAGTTGGAAACTAAGGACTAGTAAATACAGAAGGTATAACTCACTCCAACCACAATAACACAGATGTATAAACTATTTATAGTCCTCTATTATCTCACATTTTTTATTTTCATTCTACCCTATTTCTCTCTTTTGATCAACTCACTGTGTTCCTGCTTTTTAGTTTTAGATTTTGAATCGCAGCAGTGTAATGGTTTAATTAGAAAACGTTTTATTCCAGGTTTTAAGTTGCCGTATCTATTAGTCAGCATATTAATACTCATGCTAAAGCACTAAACATGTAAGTAGAAATGAATTCGATTTACTGTGAATATTTGCCAAGTAGACTACTTTATTTATTGCTTCCTGAATTTTATACACAAAATGACTGAAAAACTAAAAAGAAAAGTAATAATGACTTCCACAATCGTACCTTTACGACCACATAAACTCTGGCCAGTGCGAAGTCGTTGTAAGCTATCAATCGTACGATCTCTGTCGGAAAGTTGTTTTCCCATATCTTCTATTTGACCCATCAAATTAGCTATTTTTTGATTTGCTTGTTCAAGTTGTCCATTTGCTTGTTGACGTACATTTTCACAGCTACGAGTTATTTCTTCAAGTTCATGTTCAAGTTTTTTCTTTTCATTTTTCTCTTGATCGATTGTCACCTGAAGTTAGATGAGTGTATATTACTGGGAATTTTATCGAAATTTTTTGAAACTTGATAACAAGGAAAACTTTTTATCATCATATTTTAAAATTAGATTGGTAGACTTCGTACACTGTTCACCTCAATAACTACATTACTTTTCTTTGAGAAACTTAATTTTCAGTTTATATTACTAAAGTCAATATATCAGTTATCTATATGTTTTACTTGAGCTTTATTAGTTATCTTATATTTTGTTCTTTGTTTTCCATTCTATTTTGCATACATGAAGTGAAATGATTTCTATATGAAAGAGGCATTTTTGGCTGGGTTTGAATTGTACATTCCATAAACTTGGAAGAGACGTTACTGCTGTACACCTTCCTGTGAAGCCGCAGAAGTTATCGAATTTAATATCGTTTTCATGTGTATTTCTATCAATGAAAAATATGATACTACTGTGAAGTAATTTATTATTATTATTTGTCCCTTAGGTTCCTAATGCGACACAGGGCTTCAGTAGCACGTCTCCAATGCGCTCTGTTCTCTGAAATCTTTTGAACCTGGCTCCACGATAGCCCACAAGCTCTCATTTCTTCCTCACATCATCTCCTTCATGCCACCCTCGACTCGGACGCCCAACTTGTCGTTTCCCGTCGGGATTCCACTCCAGGGCCTGACGCGTGATGTCCCCAGTCGGCCTTCTCAGTGCATGCCCAATCCACCTCCACTTCCTTCTGAACATTTTTTGAGCGATGGGTTCTTGGTTGGTCTGTTCCCACAGTTCCTTGTTGCCTATTATTTCTGGCCATCTGAGCTTCAGTAACGAGCCAGCCTAAGCAGTTGTTGATGAATGTCTGCAGTTTGTCGGAAATGCCTTTCGTAACGCGCCAAGTCTCTGAACCATATAGAAGCACTGACCTGACGTTGGTGTTGAAAATCCCGATGTTGTTCATGCTTTATGCTGAGTGCAGTAGATCTCCACACTGGTTTCAGGCTAATGAACGCCTGTCTTGCTTTTTTGATTCTGACTTTGATATCCTCGTCTGTGCCTGTGGCGCCTGTAGTTGAAACAGTGCTTCCTAGATAGGTGAAGGAGGTTACTTCCTTTAAGTTTCTCCCGTTGATGGTGATTGGAGCTTGTTGTTGCTGTTGTTGTTGGTTGGGTATCTTCACCACCTCTGTCTTCTCTATATTCACTTGAAGTCCCGTCTTCGCTGCCTCACCTCTTCTACCAACTTGTTAGTTCTCGCCTGTAGATCTTCAAGTTTGTGTGACATTAGACACAAGTCATCATTGGCGAAATCAAAATCTTCTGGGATGTTTTCCCCGGTCCAGCGTATCTCCCTCTTCTCGCTGCCTACAGTTTGCTGCATGATCCAGTCCACCACAATCAAGAATATCATGGGTGATAGTAGACAGCCTTGTTTCACTCCTGTCTTCACTTCGAAGGCGTCACTGAGCTTTCCACTGTGGATCACTCGGCATGTGGCGTCTTCATATAGTTGTTGAATGAGGTTGATAAAGGTTTGTGGTATTCCATAGTGTTGGAGCAATTGCCAAATTACTTCTCGGTCGACTCCGTCAAAGGCCTTTTCAAAGTCGATGAAGTTGAGGTAGAGGGTTGACTGCCATTCTATGCTCTGTTCTATGATGATGCGTAGCGTGGTGTTGCAATTCGGTCCGCATATGACTTGTACTTCCTGAAGCCTGCCTGTTTGGGTCGTCGTTTTGAATCCAGTGCATCCTTTAGTCTCTCCAGGATGATGCGACATAATATTTTGCTTGGGGTGGACAGGAGAGTGATTCCACGCCAGTTCTTGCAAACACTGAGGTCTCCCTTCTTCGGCAGTTTGACAAGGTAACCCTTCTTCCAGTCGCCAGGTACCTTTACTTCCTTCCAGACCTTCTGCAGTAGTGGTGTTAGCATGTCCGTTGTTGTCTCTGCATCTCTTCTCAGTGCTTCTGGTGGGATCCTATCTGGTCCTGCTGCTTTCCCTCATTTCAGTAGCTTTATGGCGCTCAGGACTTCGACTTTTGTTGTAGGATTTATGTTCACTGGTAGTTCTGTGGCTGGGCTGCAGGTGGTATTTCTCGATGAGGTGCAGGTGGTGGTCGATTCAAGAGCTTTTTGAAGTGGTCGGCTCATCGTTTCCTTTGTTTCTGTTCTTTCGTAATTAAATTTCCGTCATCATCTTTTATTGGCTTTATCTGTGTTGATCTCTTCCCAGATAGTAACCTGGTTATTTGATACAATGTTGTCAGGTCTCTCCTACCTGCAGCCTGTTCCTGTGGAGTAATTAATTACTTCAAACAAATTCACTTCATATATTTGTCCTGCTCAAGTATCTTGTGGGACAAAGTTAAAGAATCTCTGAAAATAAGTAGAGGGAAGAAAACAAGATATCCATAAGACCAATTTTTAATATTGTAGGATGGTTTTCACTAGTTTCTGGATCAGTGCTTTGATAAATCACATCAGTGTCTTACCGTCCGTGCATTACTAATACATGATTTATTCACTGGCTTGCGACATGGCAGGTACTTTGGAAAGAGTACGGTGTTTAAGAATTGAATTCAAGGAATGAGAGTTTCTAGGACTGCACAGATGAAGTCTAGTATTAGCCTAGAAAAACACTCAGATTCATTTAGAGTCACATAGAAGACTTTAAACTTTCTGGTAAACAACGCCTAACCGACACTTTTATCCTGACGTGATGTTTGGGATTGGGTATCAAATAACCCAATGAATTATGCTGATGGGAAGCTAATTCTCTCGACGTCCTACCATGCTACGAAAGTAAATTGGAAAATGGTTAGACACAAATTAGTTACCATTATAGATTAGATTGTATAAATATCCTTGAGCGAATGTGCAAACGTCCAGCATGGTACATCCAGATATGAAGTGGGTTGGCATGCACAATACATGTCCAAGACATCTCAGTTGACTAAAGTTCACAACCTTTTCCATCGACTTCCCTCTCTTCCCTAGTATCCTTCCCCTGACCTCAACATTTCTATTACGGTGATCCCACCAAACACAAGCTATGCTAAGAAGACACCCATGATGAAACGTCTGGAACCACTTCATGTATTCTACTTTTAACCGCCATGTTTCACAGACGTACAACAGGACACAACGGACTGAGGCGTAGCACTCTCGTCCTTTGACAGATAGTTGGACATCTCGCCAGTGTCACAGGTGAAACAAGTTGGTAAATGCCAAATGGGCCTTCTGTATCCGAGGGGAGACATAGTCACCAACCAACCCATTCGAGCTGATATAACTCCCCAATTAAGTAAAGTCATCGAAAAATTCCACCACCTCACTCCATCCCCATCATTAAACTGGGAGTACTTGCAGCAGACCAGTTCTTGAGCATCATCTTACATTTGACAGGTGCCAGCGAAGCGTATGCTAGCCAAACATACTCAGATTTATGCTCAACGAGTACAGAATACTTTGCATCCTGTCAGCGTCTTCACCTAGCGGGATAATATCGTCTAGATACTGCGAGTCAACGAGGTGTCATCCAGGGAGTTGGTCAATCCCTCCGAGGTCACACTCACCTAAGGTTATGTTCATTAGTATGTCTGTGACGAAGTCAGGCAGGATCGGTGACAACAGGCATCCCTAGTGGATACCACTACTTGTCGTCAACTTTGATGACATAATTCCTGATACGGCTGCATGAGTTCTGGTAGAGGTGTTTGATTAGCATTATATGCTTACTTGGTACTCTCTTCATATTCAGATACTGTCACAATTTGTTACTGTCGACAGTGTAGAACTCCACCTTTATGTAGAGTAATATGGTGTATCGGCCGACAGTGGGTGTACCTGTGTTCCAGAAACTGCCGAAGGGGAAAAATGTGATCAGTGTATTCTCGTCAATACTTGAAACCTGTCTGATTTTTCGAGTTTGGTGTTCTAGAGCTCCAGTTATGCTGCTGATAACCATGGATCGTAGGATCTTGGACACAGTATTAGTCAAACTAATTCCCCTATGGTGCTCACAAGCAGATTTATAACTAACCGATTGAACTGAGCTTCAGAGTGTTATACCCGTTTCGATCTTCTGTTCTGGGAGGTTATCAGAAACCCGTCTTTTCCGGTGGTGGTTTCACTCACCATCATTTTCTTGTTTGCAATATCCATCTTTAATAAGCTTAAACAATTTACGGGTGTTACCCACCACTTATTCCCTCTCCACTTCTCTCTTTAGCCACCCACCACTGCTCACAATCATTTCGAAGGCTCTTGGTCAATTTACTTTTAAGTTCTTTTTGGTCTTCATCATGGTTAGAGCCAACCAGCTGGAATCAGTCTTCTCGCATCAATCATTTTGGATGACGTTGAGGAAATCCAGTTACGTTTGCTAACCTTCGAGTGTAGTTTCCCTATTTTCTTTACCACTGTTTCTACAGCAGACTTAATATCATACCAGATTTCCACAGGATGAGCCTGGCTGTCACGTTCAGATAAATGCTTAGCCAACTCTTCTATTAGTGCCTACTTTGCATCATTATCTACCAATCGAGGACAAATGGGTTTCTCTGCCTCCTGTTTCCTGCGACCAGTAAGGCGCAGACATACACGAGCCCATACTATAGCATGGTCAGAGCGAGGATAGGTGGTCCAGAAAGGGTGACAATCCTTTAACGATGGCTTATAGCAATCTGATCTCTCTGTGCCCATCGTTGGTATGGTGTCCGTGGACACCGAGTAAAATAGTCCCTCTTCTCATGCTTAAAGTTAGTGCTGGGCAGAAATAAGTGACAGTTGAAACAAAATTACAACAGATGGTCACCCTTCTAGGTTAACACCGCAGTGAGGACTAAAGCGAATGATGAAACTGACCGTCTTCTCTTCTTTTAGTCGCTCCTTATGCATCCACTAACTAATGCTCTCATGAAGTGGAGGCCGATCTCTACCGAAAATTTCCTGGCCCCTTACTGAAGACCAAACGTTCAGACGTGATTGTTGTTGCAAGTGATTTCATTGAACAATTGGGTATGCTATTTCAGGCAAAAATACACTTAAGCGGCACTTTCGAAATCCCAGCCGAACAAACACAACGGTGATCGCCTGCTACATTTTTTCTCAGACAACCGTTTATTTCTTGTCAAGAGTCATTTCAGACATAAAGGGGTATATTGTCCGAAGTGGCGTTCGCTGACCTCAAATCATCAGTGGATACAGATCATATTTCTACTCGTCATCTCGGGAGACGGCCGGTGGAAGATTGCTGTTCCTTTTGGAATACGTATTTGAACAACGACCGCCCGTTGGTTGGAGTGCGTATATGTCATCGTTTAGATGGACGTAGAAAAACTGAAGCAACAAGACCACTTTGAGTGCAATTGGACAGTGAAAACACTGAGGACGCTTTCAGTGAATAATTGGCAAGACAATTAGCGGAACAGAACAATATCACTCATCCGGAAGAAGCCTGTTTTTTTTCCAGTCTGCCATCAAGGCAGCGTTGAAAACCGTGGCCGACACTCAGAGAGTGGTTTTAAGGGCTAACGAATTTTAACAACTTCTTCTGAATTAATGGATGTACGCAAAGCTACCCCTGCAGGCTCCGAGGACAATAAGAGCTGGAAGAAACTGAAATGTAGACTGAAAAATAGCCTGCACAATGACGGCGAGCAGAGGTGATCAGCGAACGCTAAAGAAATGGAAAGACATTGATGATGGATAACGCTACACAATTATTTAAACTTGCTAAGGAAAATGGGTTGGAAAGGTCAGTGAATAGTGAGACTATACTGTAAAAGAAAATTTTTGATTCACTCTCATGGTGGCAACTGGGAGGATGGGCGGAACACTTCGAGGAATAATTCAGCTGGTGCCCAGTTTCAATTCCGTCGCCGTTTATTCAGTAGGATCCTAAGTTAAACATCAAGATAGGATCCCCAGCACTTATAGAATTCGGTAATACAGTAAATAGTGTGAGGTAAGGAAGGAAAGCAAGGCAAGATGGACTAGTATCAAAGGTATTTAAGGACGGTGGTAAAGGATTATTGGTCAAGGTAACTGAACTGTTGGCTAGTGTTTGAAATTCAGATAGGTTCCTTTCTAACTGGCTCAATCACTCAATGTCCCAGTCTTTAGGGAAGGCGAGAATTCTCTTTTGATAACCGCAGTTAAATCGAATTTGGTAACAATGCGTTTAAGACCCTACGTTCTTTATTCATTAGACGTCTAATTGAAGTTCAGAAAGAGTGAATCTGGAGATACCAGACAGGCTGCCGACCTGATCGCAGGTGTACCGATCAGATATTCACACTCCGCCAGGTTTTGAAACACAAGCACACATCGATTCCTGACACTGACTGCATTTCTTTATCTGAAAGTGCAGCTCGACTCCGTTGATTGAGAAGTGTTATAAAAATTTCCCTCACTGAAACAGGTGCTGAGCAAGTAGATCACTATGTTGAAGGCTCTTTACTCGGACATGCATTGGCGCGTTAGAGCCTACAGTGAGTTGTGTATGTCGAGTGGTGTCCATCAAGGATGTCCTCTGTTGCCATTTTTATTCAATTTTATCACAGACGTATTCATGCAGGCCTGCGTTTTGTCATCTAACTTAGCAGGTATGGTTTTAGTCTCAGAAGAATTTATAGTAGAACTGCAGTACACAGATGACCTAGTTCTGTTAGGTAAAAATGTTAAAGAGTTACAATTTTCTGGAAACCTTATGTGACACTGAGAATGTTTGAGATGCGTTCCTCACCATCTAAGTGCAAATTGTTGCTCTAGGACTGGTCTTCACTGGTGCCCTGAACAGCAGTTCTGTATGAAATAGTTGAGCATGCTGACCACTTCACTTGCTTGAAAAGTTGGATTAAACCTAATGGGTCACTGGTCAGCGAAATCTCTGCACGGATATAAAAGACTCGACTGGTCTTCACCGAATTGTGTCACTTATGACACAGTTGTGATACCCAACTGTCGATTTACGGTTTGCTCTGTTCTATTGTATAGCTCTGAAATATGGTCATTAAAGACAGGATATAAGAAGGCTTCAGGTTTACTGACCACTGTAGCCTTCTCAGTGTAGGTCCTGTTTGTCGGTGCCACCTCGTCAGTAATGCAGAAGTCAGATTTAGGGTTTTAGGGAAAATAGGAAAGTAAGTTGATGATGAAGTCATGAACTATCATTGCTTCAGGTGACTGGGACACGTATTATACATGCTTAGCCATCAACTGCCCCACTGCTCAATGTTAGCTGAAGCAGGTTCGTGCTGGGAAAAGGCTAGGGACGACGAGACTGAAACGTGGTATTATTGCATGAAATTTTCGACTGTTTTTTTCAGCCATGTAAGGAAATGTAGATTTACGTGAAAACAGAGACCATTGACTGGAGAGAATCTAGGTTATATGACTCAGAATTAAGCTCACTGGCGCAGACGTATCTACACACTACCCTCATCGGAATATTCATATTAAATTCAGCATTTTCTCATTTCTCGTTCCTTTCCTTTACAACTTCCTGCTATTTTTGACCGATTCTACTTTATTTCTTCATCTCTCATCCTAATAATTTCCTGCTTAGTGGGCTGAGATGAGTTGTGGCAGCATAGACCTTTATTCAGTAATACCTGATCCTAAGTTGATGAAGATGGATTGATAGAGCAAACAACCACTAGTGAATATCAGGAGATCTCTCCCCTACCATCTGTAATTGTGCTGTTTGAAATTTGAAAATATCGATAGCTGTACCGTGTTTAAGTATATTGTGCCTTTTCTTTATTTATTGCTTGACCTATGAATTTAAGAGCAATGTAATAGAAGTCAATAGAAGTCTCTACTCCAACAGTAAGAAAAGTTCGATACGAAATTGTCTCGAAAATGTGTTAGATACATCTAAACCACTAAAGATGCTTTGGGTTTTAATGTAGGAAATTATGCTTTGCACCGATTCTCATTAAACTGTAATGCCTTTTCATCTTTCGTATGACAAAAGGTAAAATAAATAAAAGCTAATTGACTAAAAATATATGAGCTCACCAGGTTTCTAGCTTCCATGGTCCGTAAGTTGGATGCAAAGTTTTCACATGCTGTTTGACATATTCTTGATACTCTAGAAAGTTCAACGCGAGCAGATCCAATCTCTCGTTCTACTTGACCCCTTACTTCAACGAACTGACGTCGACATGCTACAACTGCTCTCCATAAAGCAAGTAGTCTTCCATGTTCCATAGTAAAATAGTCATTGAAAGCAGCTTCTTCATTTCTCCATTCTGCTTCTCGACGTTCAAGGATGTCGCGTAAACGAGTAGCTTCTTCCTTGATGCGCTGTAAGTCAGATGAAAGTGTCTGGTTCGCGTGTGTAGCTTGATCTAGTTGTTCTCTTAGCATTGTATTTACACCAGCAAGTGTCGATGCTCTGTTATGCAAGTATGTTTAGTAATGATTTCATATAGCAAATTTATGTGTAACACATATGAGCTTTATAAACACTTTCTGATACCTTCCACTCACATTTCCTTAGTCTGTACATTTTATTCATTATTTTCTACACTATATGAAATTTAACATCCAGCCATTTTTAAATCCTTTAGATCTCGAGGATGTGTGTCAGTGGAAAATATTCGTTTATTTTTTGTTCATGCATTTCTAGATTGTTTCAGTAAGCAATTCAAAGGATACACATGATTATACTGAATTTGATTTTCATTTTGTGTTCATCTCTGAATCTACTAAGATCCACTTTCTACGGCACAAACTTACCGATGGTGCGTTGTGCAGTAAGCAGTAGGCCTAATGAAAAACTTAATTTATATTAAACAATAATTCATTACGTAAAACCCACAATCTAAATTCCAGTATAATACTATTTATAGATCTTTTTCTGTCTACGTAGAAATGAGGTGGTTTGTAATCATCTTTACAAATCTCATGTTTTTGGGCTAAGGCGATGTAATTACGGCTGGATTTTGATTTCATCTATGTAACAATAAGTTTTACTACAACAGCAGACTATTAAATGTCGTAACCGATCACTTCTGCACACCTTAACCACGAAAATATGTTCTTAATATCAGGTACAGAAACTTTCAATCATTACTAAGACTTGATTAATCACTCAATGACTTTTATTCCTGATTTCGATTATATAGCGATTGTCTGTAAAGACTACTCTAAAAGCAACGAAAATGGTCCATTAGATTTCACTAACTCTTTTAAAATGGTAGTTTTTCATGAACCAAGGAAACGACGTGAGTTGTCTCAGTATCTACCGTGGTATGCAGTTTATTTTTGTTTTGAGTTGCATCTTTTATACGTGAGTGACGTTTTTTATTTTTCCGGATAAGATGGTAAATGGATTCAGTCCTAGCCTGTTTCATGACTTTAGGGACCTCTCAAAGTCGGGGATAAACTGAAGTGTAGGCTTCTTTTGCGTGAGTAATTATCATATGACCACGTTTTACTGTTTTTCTGCTATCAATTATTCTGTTTTCCATACTTGGTTTAGTGGTTCAGCTGATTTTACTATATAATCAGTCACAACTTAGCAGTTTGATTGAACAAAGTTTATTTCAGTTCCATTTTTATAATTACGTACGTCGTACATACACAATACCAACATACCTTTGCTGCTCTTCCTCCAGTCGAAGTAGGGTAGCCTCATATTCAGCTGTATTTTCGTCCAAGCCAGCCTAATGATTCATAATTAGAGGAACGAAGAATTAAAACAAAGGTTTGAAACAGAATTCAGAGTAAGCGAAAGATCATTAACAAGTGGAATTGCTACCTGTTTGTTGATTAGTTTCCATGTATCAAACGATCGGAAACAATCGACAGGTTTCATACTTTTTGTTACTCCTCATACAGATGTATAGGCAACCTTAAAGCAATTAATGTCCTGTCTGAAATCCGAGCTGGCATCTTTAAGTGCTACAGTCAAAAAGGTTGACAATAATTTATCCTACAATATATCGATTGCCACACGAACGGCAAAACTGTTAGATTGTAATACTATTCTATTAGAATGACTATAAATGAATATATAAATTCCGTTATATTGACTAGAAAATAATTTTCCATGTACACCTTTCGATATGATAACAGAACCTTGTAGATGAGAAAGGGAATGGCTGTTCCTAGGAGATTGAATTCAAACAATTGGAAAAAGGCATCATTCCTTGCTACTGACAGCACAGGAAACTGATAAATGTAGGCTGTTCGAAAGTTGTTTTTCAGCGAATCATTAAGAACATTCAATAAATTCTGACGAGGTCGCCCAGTCTGGTGATGAAACGTCCTCAAATATAGGTGAGAACCATCATTCTTATCTTGAGCTACAAATCTCCTTCACTATGCCCATAGACTTTCTTCAGAGGTATCTGTAAGAAGCTTACGTTCAAGATGGTTTAATCAACTCATGATGGTTTTTCTTCTACATTTTATTCTTATGAGGTATATTGCGTCTGAATTGAGTTAGTTGTACATTGCGTTCGCTTTATAGTCCGTAAAAAGCAATTAACAGCCGGCTTTACAAGCTTTCTATCATTTGATGCTTACTTATAAAAAATCACATTATATTTCTATTAATTATATACCTTTAAATACATTGTTTACTAAACTAACAGTTATAGGAAAATTTAGCACAAAGTTAGTGGTGTGTCAATATCACATACTAAAACTTATTAAGAATCCAACCGAAGACGGAGTGAAAGGGATGGTAGCATCTCACCGTAGAAGGTGGTAGTTAAAGAGGTTATCAAGTCCTCTACTGTGAAGTCTTGACAACTGTGTGAACCACAAATCTCTGTTTTCTGGAAAGGACTATGACTTTTTGAGTTTGATCACTGTAAACATTTGAGAATAGTTGTGCTGATGCATGTATTGTCAAAAAGCGATATATTTTTCTTTGAGTGATCTCTCTGTCTATTTATTACATTTCAGTCATTCTAGTCATTCTGATTGATAACGTTTACAGTCAGTTTCGTTGTTTTTAATTTGTGTGTTACTTAATAAGGGGGTCAGTTAATTCAGAAGGTTCCTTCCATTTTTAACTAAAATATCTTTAAAGTAAGGAACAAAGAAACCTTGAAAGTCTTTGGAAATCAAAAGTGCTGTCTGATAAAATTTAGTTTTTATGTTTGAAATGAAACTTGATGACTTAACGCGACCCAAGTATAATGAATTATGAACAATATAATATAGTGAGATAATCCTTCTGTGATTTCTGCTCTGCTGCTTTTTCTAGGGTTCTAAGAGGAGCGTCTCAACCTTAGGTTATCACTTATTGTATTGAACTCAAGATGCATTAAGATTCATTTCTCACTGTTGAACAGTCAGTTTGCTGTTAGCGATAGGTTGAATAGATATGTGCACTTAATTTCAGTGTGATAAAAAACGAAGCAGATTTTACTGAAAATCTTGTCATTTTTATATGTCAAAAGGTCTTAACTATAAAAACTTTTAGAGTTACTTCTTTGCTAACAGAACGGTAAAAACAATAGATAACCTAGCATAGCAGGACATCAGTTTGATAGATCGGGACTTTTAAGAACACTCAGAAAATAGATCAAGATCAGTGAAAAAGACCATAAAAAGTGAAACAATCGTAATGATGGCATATTTACTTTTCAAATGGAAAGTTTAATTCGTGGTATCTGCCCTCATAGTATAAATTTCCAGCCATGTCACCTACATTTTCTGTAATTGATTTTTCTTTTCTCATAAATGTGATTTGACGATTCTAAGGTTGCCCGAATACCGACGTACTAAGAGGCAAGCGTTTGTTTTAGTAGTCACCAAGGGATTCGACTTCACTCTTCAGAAAAGAGAAGTAGATTTTACATTTTTGTTTTCTTTGATTACTGATTATTATAATTAATTGGACTGTGATCCTGCTGTGCATAGCTTCGGTGGTGAGCTTCAGTTTAATTTTATGACGATATATATATATATATATATATATATATATATATATATATATGAATTGTTTGTTTTTTGATATTAGACAAATAGTGCGTTGTAATCAAATTGCTGTACAACTTGACCAGCAATAAAACTATAAATGCGGGTTAACAGTCGAAAATAAAATCATTTATCTGTTAACCATATTTGTACCCGTGGTGCACCTCTTACACTACCTTAAGAAGAAAAGTAAGGTCAAGCTGATAATTCTAGGGATGAGGATTGTAGCAATTATGCTTACTTGATCACTTTTTTATTATCAGTTTTGATAGTAGACTTGAGTATTTGATCTGTAGAAGTATGTATATCGAGATTACCTATTTTTGCTCAAGAAGGATCAAAGTGTCCGGTTATCATAGCTAACATTTTGTCAATTCTTTCAGTGAATGTTATAGCATCTTTTTCGTTGATACAAATGTTTTTAACCACAAGTTTTATCCTTTCCATCTTTTATAGCAAGAGAAACAGTAGCTTTCTGTACAAATATTATTCAGTTAAATAATTGTAATCGCATTTGTCTGATTACTGTAAGCATAAGGGACAAAATTTAAAATCTGGTAGCTATTAGGCGAAATAACTCGTTTCTAAAAAGAAAATGTTTCTCTTTTCATTTTAAGAAATATCAGATAGAATATTTAGTAAACAATGTTGCACACTAACATGATCCTGATGGAGTAAAAAGTAGTCGAAAAACTGAAATAGTGCACACCTATTTTATTGTCTGCTGAGTACTTTTTCAAAGTCAAGATAAATCAGAGAGGATCTTTCAAAATTGGTAAGTTGTTTTAAGACTCTTATTAAACACAATACTGCTATTATTCTATTATGAAACGCACATTATAATGAACAAATTACCTTTCTATTCTGATTTTCGGTTTCTGCTATCTGTAATCTAAGTTCCAGTGTTCGACATTTTTCTTTGTATTGCAAAACCTGTTATGAGATATTGTGAAATTTTTAATCTTTAATTCTATATTAAATGTTTGCACCTCGTTTCTTAACAACATTAAAAAACAAGGACATTAATAGTAAAATTAGGTTGGGTTTATCTGGAGCATGAACTTACAGTCAAAGAAAGCCTTTCCATATGCTTCTACTTAAACTGCTGGAAAGATGTTCTACTATAATTGTACTGTGGGCTTTTTTTAGTACACTACCAATCAGTCTGTCATACTGATATCAGTATATAAGAGCAAAAAAGATGTGACGGATTTTTTAATATTCCCACAACTTTATACTTCAAAGTACTGACTTTAACTTCTCCTAAACTTGCAACTTTTCATCCACATGTGCTTACATAATTAGCTGATATCTCCATGCTAAATAAATTATCTTGAAGTCTTTATTATACCGATTTAGCTGATTACATTTGTAAACCGTAAACCTAGAAGAACGTTCTCAACTAGATATGTAAATGTTCTAGATACAAATTTTCTATATTTTGTAGCATAATAGTAAGAACTGTCATCAGCTGGAAAGTAACTTGGTACTTTTTACTTTTTAACTCGCGAATGTGTATAATTTAAGGAGAATTGAAAGGCTACAAAGAGAACAACTGACTTGTTAATGAAACCAGTTATCTTGGCCATTAGTTTGCTATTATCATTAAACCTTACACAAGCAAAACGTTTGGTAGTTAACCGACAAGTCTGGAAAATCAATTTTGCATGTAGTATTCGACAATAGATGTTAACATAATACGTTAAACATATCATACAGGTTTACATTTGTACCTCTTTTCAGGGCAATTTCAATAGTTTCAAAGAAAAATAATAATTAGACGAGGCGCCGTGGCATTCTTCATTAACTGCTATTGCATCTTGAGTAAGGTGATGAGGCTTCTGAGCGAAAGAGCACTTTATGTACGGAAAGATCTTGAAAAGTTGATACTAAGTTGGATGCCCAGTCAACTAGCTACTCTACCGATAAGTATACATTAACTTTGCTCACCTTAGACTGAAGACGTTGAACGAGATTCGTTTGACGTTGCTGGCCTTCTTGGTAAGCTGATAGTCTTTGTTTGTAAGCAGACAATTCTTCATCTAGCTTCCTTCTTAGGTCTCGATTATCCAGGTTTAAATTGTGAGTGACAGATGGCATATTTAATCCAGTAATGGAATCTTCTTCACATGACTCGCCAAAATCCTAATTAGAAAATTAAAGAATGTTGAAGATATTCTATCAGTAAGTCTGGTGGCTATATCTTGGTGCCAAGTAGGTCACAGCAATATTTATGATTGTTTTACTTATTTCATAGAAAAGCATAATGAAGATAAATTTTGACCAGATCGATTTTGGGTGCTGAAAATAAGTAATGTGAAGTTCATCACTTTTTGACCTGTTCATACCAAGCATGCGAAAAAATACCATCTATTAGCCATGTAGATCTTTAAAAGTTAGGCTGACCATCTTTAAATACATGGATTTACGCCTACTTAGTAATAAAAGCCTACTGCAAACCCAACGGAAATAAATGCAAATTTTCTGTCATCCATATATATCCTTAGGAATAAGCATTTGAACTTTACTTACACTGATGTCGTTAGTATGAAATGGAAGATCCACGTAAAACATAATCAAATCAGGACTATTTCAGCAGACATACAACCTTACTTTCCCTGACACTTAACTTTCTGAAAGAATTTTTAGATGTTGGTTATCTCAGATATATTCAAGTGTAAATAATCGTTGTCATCGATTATAATGAAACATAGATTACTCTACTAATGAGTAGTTGATGCGAAGATTTGTCAATTGTAGATGAGCTAACCTACGGTTAGTGCAATAGGTTCTGTCCGTGTGCTTGTATGTGCGCGCAGAAGACGGTAACTGACGCTTTGTACGATATATAAGTTGAACGGAAACGTAAATGCGCGGATTCGGATACAGGTGTAAAATAAGTATCGTAAATAGGTGGTGCAAATCGCATTTTGTTTTAAAAGTTAATGGTAGAAATAAATGGATAAGCAGTAAAGCACTGTAACCTTGATACTATAAATCTGCTGCCCAGGATGATTAACATTCGTGTAGATACGTATCCTGTTTATAAAAATTATTGATTGATTTCCTCCCAAAATGAATCTACAATGATTGCAGTTTACACGGAAGATAAGTATTGAGAATTTCATAAAGAAGTAAAGAAGATCTGCAACAAAATTCTGATAATGATAATAGCCATGACTCATCCATTTAAGAGACCCTGTAAAAAGAATGGGGAACTACAACATAGGGTGAATTCAACTCATAGGGGATGAGGAAAACTGAACCTTGGGGAAATGTGAGCAAGTATTAGAAACATTAGGCATGGTATGTAGAAATCTGTCACTGATTTTACTGAGCAACATACAAACTCTTATGAAGGAGGGAGCATGGTGGTCAAAAATCATGCTTGATATTAATAGCTTATCTCTATGAGCCAGCCAATGAAATTTATTAGCATGTGCTACATATAGTTGTTCGTGCCACGAATAGCTTTTTATATTCTCTGTACTGATATTTTGCATAAAAATATTTTATACCAAGGAATATATAGAATTATTTTTTAGTGAGAGTTGATGGACAGAAATCAGCTGATCATTTATAATGTCAATCTAAATTGATCCACCTCTGTCAATATTCGTTTTCCATTCGATCACAAAAACTCCTGTTAGTATTCAAGCTGCATACGTTTGTATATTTTATTTCGTTTCTAAATAATATCTTGAACTAGGAGAACAAAATGAAGAACAAAGTGATATGGCTGGTATTTGGTTCGAGGAAATCAGCAAGAACCCCTGGACCTATGGTTAATGATTGTTGGTACTCTTCAGAAAGATGTATCTGGAATCCCGAGGCAAGTGACATCTACCCCACCCCCCATGAATTCAAACCGGTACCACTCAGTGTTTTAGTCAGGGACATTACCAGTGAGCTATTTGGTCAACGATGGATCTTCAGGAGGATAATCGATTGACTCTAATCAAATAACACCCTTCAAAGTGCATTCCAATGGTGGGTCGCCTAGCTTGGTGGCCACACTAAAATGATCGACAGAATTCGGTCAGCACTTAGGACAAGAAAACATAAAATTGATTGCTCTCCAGTAACCATCATTGCACGATATGACTGAGTTTTCATCTACTGTATTACCAATCGGAAACTATTGTTAGGTAATAGTGTAGACTAACCATTTTTAGTGGAATGATTAGCAGCTAGTCAGTGCAATCATTTAAGTGTTTTAAATCAGTGGTCAACATCTTTAGAAGTCATAACATATTAGTATTTTGTTTTGATAGTGTTGTGTTCTCTGAGCTGGATGGTGTAATCTTATAGCTTTTCTTGTCATTTTAGACAACATCATTAGTACAAACTGAAGAGGTTTCTACTGATGATGTTGTCTAGAATGAAATCAAAAGCTGCAAGATTACACCATCTAGCTCAGAGAACACAACACCATCAAAACTATTCTTCTGAGTTACAAATATTCACCATCGTCTCAAAACTGGTATGCTGTGTTTGTCTATTGATTTGGTGCTTCGCTGACATGCTTAATGCTTAAACTGCTGCTATGATACTTTTAGAAGGATTCCGCTAGACTGCAAATAAACTCGAAGGAGATATGTTTTTTCATTTTGGAAATGTATATAATTTTCGAAATCTTCACTGTAGGAGAAAGAGCTCAATAAGTTTGAAGTAATTTTTCCACTCTGTTACACAATATGTGACTGTGACCGAACAATGAATCACAAATATCAGAATTTATTCATAAGTTGGACAAGAAAAAATGTATACGTTTACTAACATGTTAGTGTTAGCCAATGGGACGGATATATTGACCTAATAGGGGTAGAAATAGGCAAAATGAAATCTAAATCTTAATCAGTGATATCGGATAGTAATTCTAACATATTATGGTTCACCTTACAAGAAAATGAATTGAATGAATTAACCGCTGACAGATATGTCGATATTGGTTTAAACAGTAATTACTTCAGTAGAGTGATATGAACTTAGTTTTTATGCAGTAAATTTAAATGCAGAATAAAGTAATTACCATATTCTACTATTCTTCAATCCTGTTTTAAAGTTTTATCGGAAATATGATTCAAAAAGTGACTTCACTCCATAATCTAGTTAGTAACTTGCGTGTTTTAGACGAAATATCACCTGGAAGTCATTAAGATCTTGTTAGTTTAATTTTTGGAACTTATACTAAGTACGTGAAATAATTCCTCTCACTACCTTAAGATGCATACATTCAATAATAAACTGTTTCACTCATATAACCATTTCACTTAAAAATTAGGGTTTAAATTTACTCTTTAACAAATTTATTATTTCAAAGTCATCGTCTGGATTTGTTGTGTGATGGGAGTCAATCAAATGTTCTAGAATTGAAAAGGAATCTTATTCACTGTCTTTGCTATCGAATAAGAAGTATCTGTAGTGACGATTGTATCGACAAAGAGCTATCTTTTTTAAAAAGCATACTTGTCGAAAACGGTTACCCTAGCCGTTTTATTGATAAAAATATGCGGGAAAGAAACACTAAACCAGTCATCCACTCGGTCTCAAAGAAAAGATTGTTTATGAGCCTAGAGTTTAAAGGAGACCTAGCATCGGATGTCCTGAAGAATCGTCTTACCAGATCAACCATAGGACTTTCTTCGCAGCAAGACTTCAGTTGACTTTTACCAGCCGCAACCTATTCTCCACCTGTGGTAAAGACAAGCTTCCTCGTTTGGCCGCCTCTATGTGCATCTACCAGTTCACCTGCTCTTATGGAGCAAGGTACATCGGCCGTAGCCAGAGAATGCTTTCTACACGTATACGAGAATATGTTCCTGCTTGGTTTTATAAAGGTGAAAGAAAGTCTGTTAGAAGTTCAATTCTAGAACATTTGATTGACTCCCATCACACAACAAATCCAGACGATGACTTTGAAATTATTTATCAAATTTATTATTTGTATTGTTGAAAATCACATTTTAATGAGGAAATCAATGGTGGTCTTCATCTATAGCTGACGGACACAACTAAACAAATAGAAAAAGAAATCTTTTTAACCTCTTCAGATGGTGCTTAAATACACAAACAGGTATGTAGACTAATGCATTCAACAATTTAACACTTTTTGCAGCATGATGCTGAGTCACGTTGTAACACCTTACAACATCAAACAGAAAAAGGACATAAACATGAAGTTGACGAAGCTCTCTGAGATAGCCTCATTTCAGAAAGTAGTCTGAAGCAATTTGGTGGTGAATAAAGAAGAAACGAAAGCTTGGTTCAAAACAAATTTCAGATCAGTGACCAGACTGAAAACGCGTTGTACTGTCTACCGAAATACTAGACTAGCTGCTGACAGTGTCATTTCAATCACTAGTGGTTTTGTTCAGATGTTATGTAGTATGTAACCCAAAATCTCCTAGTCTTGTTCGTGAAGTATCCCAAGCATTAGCTTTATTCTAAAGGCTATAACTTAATGATCGGCAGCGATGGAGTATGCTTTTGGACCATTTTTAACCACGTTGTTTATGGTTTGTGACAGATAATTGTAATGGAAATTATAACAAAAAAGAAAATAACGAAAAATTGCCAAACAAATAAGGTAGATAAATAGTATGTCACGTATAGTGGTGTGTTTCTAATCCGTAAATCCCCATTACTTGCACTGAACTCAGTTGCGCCATCCTAGGTGAGATTTTGTCAAACTTGACTGTCATTCAGTTGATCTTAAAGTGATATGTTCAAACTGTGCACTAGAGACTACACTGAGGCATTCCAGAAAGAGTAACATGAACAACTTCATATACTCTACCTCAAATTTGTCTTTCCAAAAATCAACTTTTCTGACAGTTTGTCTGCATTCATAAAGAAGATAAAGGATGCTAAATGCATTCGCTTTGTATATAAAAGGTTCGAAGTGAAAAAAGTCAGAAGCTGGCACAGAAGTGTGTCAGTTTAGGTTGCCAGACTTCACACTAGGATACAAATTAGAACCAAACTAGAATACAATGATATTAAAGTCGACAAAATTTTGTAAAGATGGAAAACAAATAGATGAAGGATAGTGAAAATATTGGAACTTTTTACCATGACAAAGAGGGCATGCATCTGCATCATTGTGGCCGATTTCCATGCATTTCGCACATTATTCAAGAATT